GTTGTATTCCGTAAATTATGTACAGTTTTTATATTCGTTAACCAATGTATTCTTGCTGCCTTCTAGATAATTTATTTTGCCACACATTACTGCACAGTTGTAAATAACCTATGTACTGTAATATCACTCAGTTAAGTGTAAAGAAAAAACATAAAAGAAATAAAAAGTATCTTTTTATGTACAGTTCACTTTTGGGCAGCACTTTCCCCCCCTCATATCCATGGGCCAAAATGTGTACACGATTCTGTCAGTATTTGAAAGACTCCAGTGCACAGTTGTATGATCCCATCTCTAGATTCAGTCCAGGTTTAGGTAAGGCAACTCACCTAGACGTGGATCACCACAACTCACAAATAGCTGACAGAGAACACTTCTGGATTAAACCGGCCTCCCACAGGCCAACCACCACATAGTCCCTCAGATGTAGCAGAATAGTTGTTGAGGATTTATTTAAAGAATAGACAGAGGATTATTATTCATTGCTTTACTACACAATTATATCCGAGAAAATTCGAACCAAGAAAATGCCTTTTTCAGTGAAAAAAAATGTACTCATTGTTGGGCAAAGTCACATAGATATATATGGGTGGGATGAAAGTTAGAGAGATGTCATTCATGAGCAAAACCATCATGTTAATGTAGAATGGTTTCAAATTCATTTTCCGTGTTTTTAATTTACAAAAAAAAAATTGACTAAAATCATTTCTGATCATCACAAAACATCATTGTCTAAAACCAACAGGACACGGGTCTTTCAGCACACATGCTCTCTTCTCCCAGCTGGTCTGCTTTTCACAGCAAATAGGCCGAAGAGGTCTAACAGCCACTGAAAGGTTTCATTCCGTACTGACTTGAAACGCTTTGTCAGTCTGTCTGCCCCTTGTCGTTGGAGAGCAGCGTATTTTCTCAGTGCTCTTCCAACTTTTACTCACTAGATGGCACCAGTGTGTCAGAAAACTCCAGAACTTTATTTGGCTTTGCAATGAGACCTGTGGCCTTTCACTTGGATCGGTGTTTTTAAATATCTTGAAATTTTATTACAGCCTATATGGAGCTCAATTCCTATATATGATTCTAGTGCAACACCTTGATCGGTTTGGTAATCAATTGAATCATAATAGGCTTCTCGGCCTTTTTTATCAATGTTTAATCTGCAAGGGGTTTGGCTAGTGTTGTCAGGGATTTTAAATGTTAAGTTACTTCCTCATATTACTTCATTGTGTGGTGGCATTTGCCATATTCATGTTCTTGTGTCAGGCCCAAGCAGACAGTTATGAGACTTAAATCTTCTCAGAATGAACCAAAAAGTGGACAGACATTAACATAAACAGTGGAGGGGAAAGAAATAGCTTAATGCTGAATAGATCTTTTTTCTTGTTTTGTTTTTTTAATTGTCTCCAATTAAGAATCCCATTGAAATGTTGATTTGTGATGACTTGTATTGATTCTCTATTTTTAAATGGGTTTTGAGGAGCTTTCCCAACCTACCACATAGGCTGTCTCTCTGTGTGTGAGAGCTGCTCATGTATCCTGATGGCAATATTATCAGAAATCTTTTTTATTTAGTCATTTACACACTGTCAGTCAGCATAGCTCTGTACGGTATGTCTAGTCAAGTGCAATGGTTGTTGCTATTACACTGTGCAGACAAGGTGGCTAGATGTATAGTCCTGGATATTTTTGAGAGATACACACACATCTTGGTTGGTATACATATACATACATATTTGGATACAAATAGCCAGAAATTTGGTTTTTAAACCCCTGTTTGTCATGTTTTTGTTTTTATTTTGTTGGGTTTTTTTACACCGTTTTGGGGAACGAGGGTTAAGCGTGTCTTTTGTTCACAGAATCCTTGTGTTTTTTAGCTCAGTGTATGTAGTTTTGAATGTTGTTGTGTTTATCTTAGGGGTTTTAGTTCCTGTATAAAGCATAAACACCAGTGGCATGTCAATCACGTTGCTTATCAAGCAGAATGTATACCGTTACAATGCCCTGACCGACCACACCCTTTCACTATTGTTTACAAGACATCAAGTGTGTTTCCGTTTCATGTGTCACCTTTTTTAGCGGTTTAAGCCCTGCCTTTGTTTTTACTTCTGTAATCGGTCATTTATTTGAACCACAAAGGCTTGAAATGGTGATGGTTGACACAGCTGACAGGCGATTCTCTCCCCCCCTTAGTTTGCGGTACACCGCTGCACAGAGCAATAGACTAAACACATCCATCAGCGTTGATTCTCCAGTGTGAATATTCAAATAACAAAAGAGTGATTTCTGGATAAATTGAATACAGACACAAACACACATCAGTCCTCAGATGCACAGTAGAGCACTTGGCACCGTGGTGATACAGATGCTAGCCTAACACCACCTCAGTCAGCAACATATTACCTCTACTTTCCTCACATTCACTCATAATGTTTATTTTAGATTTGTTATTTGTTGTTTTTTCTTACTGGACATAAATATACATAATTGCTATTTTTTCATTCTATAGAATCACGATTTCAAGCCTTTTTTTCTAGTTTTTTTTTGTTTTGTTTTTGTTTTTTTTAATTAAAACCCAGACTGTAGCTATTTCTTTGTTCCTTTTTTAGAGTGGAAAATTACTAATAAAAAGCATGGAGAACTACTCTTTAAATGGTGAGAAATAACCTATTTATTATCTTTTTGTTTTTTCTGACACCTGTGGTATGTTTTGAGTTGAAGTTGGTCTCCGCTGTGTAAATTTTCCTCCTTGTAATGCGTGAAAGAGACATACTGTACATAGCTCTGTAAATAAAACCTCCCAGGACGTTTTGCACCCTCCTCTTTGTACTAGTCTGAAAAATTGCGTAGAATGTGGGGTTCTAACAGCAACGAGCTGCGTGCGCTTGCTGCAGGTGATTATGATGTAACAATGTAACATTTTTTTTATTTGTACAATGTAGTTTATTTGTGTACATATTGTCGGAGCAGCTAAGAGGGGGGCGGGGGGATATATGAGGGGGTTGTTGATGCTATTGTCAGTGCTGTAACAGAAATCCAGTACTTTCACCTCTAGCTGTTGTTGATTTCCTGCAAAAAAATAAAGACAAAAAAAGACATAAAAATAAAAAACGCGAGAAACTGAAAATGAGGATGGATGGGAAAAAAAGACTAAAACTGAAAAGTAAAAATTCTAAATTGTTATTTTCTACAGTTGCATGTACAGAGAGCGCGAGAACTGCTGTTGTTCCTCAGAGATTATGTTCGTTAATAAAATTTTGAAATATTACCAGCCTTCCTTCGGTTCTTGATTTTTAGTGTTTGCATTGTGTGTGTCATGATGTAACAGCTCTATCATGTGCAACGGCACCATCACTTCTGATATATACACTCATATAAAAAACTAGGCTACATTTGATAATATACCTTTAAATATTAAATATACATTTAAATAAGATTTATCTCAACATAAGGACCAAGCAAATATTATGGTGGTCTTGTGTAATTTAGGAGACAACTTTCTATTGATAGCGGGCTGAGGTAACCATGTTTCATAGTGTTTGCCAGAGATGTTTACAATCTGAATGTTTGAAGTGCCTTCTCTGACATGGCTGCCAGATTTAGTGAGTGTGGTCACCTTATAGCCTGGGTTCAGTCTGCCTAAAATTGGACTCATGGCATAAGGAAAAGCCCAGATTTATAGACATAAATAGGTTTAATTCTCTATGTTTTTCCTTTATCTTTTCCCTTATTCTAACTCGTGCACATTGGAGTCCTGTCACCCAGCAGATTACACAATTTTACTAAACCTATTCATGGCATTCACTGGAATTAACATTAACTGCAGAGTCACAAGGCAGAAAAACCAGTCTGTGTCCTGGGTCGTCACCTGTTGAAGCCCGATGAAAGAAATACAAGTCACCTGTTTAACTAGAAAAAGTACACACTACAGTGTCAAGTGATACTGATCACTAAATGCTGGCCAAAGCCAAGTTTATTTCCAGGCTGAACCTCCAAGGCAGCGTCAAACTGAGGTTAATAAACTTTTGATATAGCACTTTTCAAAAGAAAGTTACCACACGTTTTACCTCAAAATGTAAACACTTCACGCCCACAAATGGAACAACAAGACAAGGTTAACTACAAAAATGTGTAAAAATATAATGATATATAAATGATTAATAATAATACACAACAATAAAATAAGATTAAATAATAAGAATAAACTCAAACAGATGATAGTTATACAAGATTATATTCTCAGGATAAGTCATGTTTTCTCACACGTTTTAACACATACTCTGACTGTTATGCTTTTCTTATATCCCACACACATTATACATCTATATCAGAAATATAATTTAAGTCACAAATGTAAATGTTAAGTCCTGGTATTTAAATTCTTAATAATGTATTTTATAAATAGACTATAAAATATTTAAAGGTGCACTCCGCAGATGTTGCACATGAAGTTTACATGAGGAGCTTTTACTCTCCTGTAAAAACAGTTGTATAATATCCTGAGTGGCTCTGATGGAAAAACTGTTTGGACTTCAGATGCAAAATTTAAACAGAGTCTGCATTTTGAAGTGGAGGTGTGGGGTTTGAAACCACTTGCCTTTTATGGGGGCAGGGATAGTCTAATGAAAGACGCTGTTGAATTGCATTTTGGGGAATGTAGGATCCAGCTTTTTTTGGAGCTTGACCCACTTTAGAGACTATAAAAGTCAGGATATTTCAGCTTTAGACTTTAATTATATACACTTCAGAGTTATTGTCTTTGTTAATTGAAGCAATTTTTACTATGGAGCCATAAGCTGTGATGTGACAAGCGGAGTCACATGGACACACAGCTACAAAAATATGATAAGTGACACATGTCTGGAAACTTCAGCTGCTCACGGTGCTGGTTTGGTGACTCAGGGACGATCCAGCAATTAGTCACTGAAGCAGCCAAAGCAGGTGTGTCATAGGTCGATCCCTGAACCCCGTGTTGTGTGATTCTCCGCCTTCCTCCGCCCTCCTCCTCCTCCTCCTCCCTGCGCTCTCTACCTGCTGCTGCGTCGCGCTGCTGTTGAGTGTGCGCACTCACTGCGCAATGGACACAGAACCATCTGTTACCGCCAACACTCGCTTTCAAATGGATTATGAGACCAAGATTTTCCCTCACACCGGCGGCTATGGACGCTACAACCGAATCGTGGTCGTATTCAGCTGGTTCCCCAACTTCGCGGTCATGTTGAATCTATTTAGCGACGTGTTTTACACCCTAATCCCGGACTCGTACCACTGCAAACCCGACCCGCAGCTTCTGCCTTCCACTTTCCTCCTCAGCAACTTCACCAGACAGGGGTACCTCAACCTCACCATCCCCTGGGTGAACGGTACCGGTCTCAGCCACTGTGAACTCTTTAAGTACACATCCAACACCTCAGATTTTTCCGAAAATGTGCCCAGGGAGAGGGTGTCCTGCACCAAAGGGTGGGAGTACGCGCATGTAGCCGGGCTCCAAAGCAACTTTGTTACTGAGGTAAGACACCGTTAAGCGTACAGGTCATCACTCAGGTCTGTATGGTTGGAGTTTGGCACTAATAAAGGAGTTAGAAACAGGGATGGAGAGGTGGACAAATTCACTAAAAGTTAGTTTAAATCCTCGTTTTTAGGCTGAAAGAAGCACAGGGAGCCGGATTGCTTTTAAAAAAAGATTTTCTGGATCCAATTTGACTGCAGGTTATTGGTTTATCACATAGGTCTGTATTTCTGAGAGAAGACAAACTATTTCCTAGGTCCCCTCACTTAAACAGCTATTTGAATAGTTTGGTTTTGCTCCAAGATGGTGGTGCTGAGCTGGATTTGTTCTTGTTTCCACTGGGTAACAGCAGTGCATCTCTCCTGGAAGCTTGTGTGGTTATAGAGAGGAACGTTCACAGCATTCAGTCAATATTTGCTCACTTGAACATTTAAAACCTTGCTGCTGAGTCTTTTTTACACTCTTGCTTATCTGCTATTCTGGCACTGTGTTTCCCAGGGTCACAGATAAAAGTTCAGCCAGGCAGTGGACAAAAGACTGCTGCTCAGACCATTTAAATACAGTATATATACATCTGCATTAGGGCTTATAAACTGAAGTGTGTGAAAAGAAATAAAAGAAATATAGTGGAGATTGCATTCAATATCTCTTCTGACCCTTGGTTTCTGAGAGATTTCCAAGCTGAATATGGATCCTCTTTGATCGTCTTGTGTCTTGTGCAACTACGCCTGTCAGTAAGCAGCAGGAACTTGTTTATCTTCTCCTCAGTCTGTTTTAGTGGACTTCAGCTATTCAAGGATCCATCCCAGTCTGCAAATATTGATAAAGAGTTCTAACAAAAATATCTGTGTGACCCTGTACAAACACCACACAGGTGCACACACATTAAAACAACAGTATTTGAGGCAGTCACTAAACTGCAGCAGTGAGAGTTACGAGCATTGGTGGAGAGTGAGGGCTGTCAAGCTGGATAAATAGGTCATTATCGGTAATTAGCCCAACTTGTCCTCAGAGTATTGTCTGTGTATCTCTCGGCTTCAAGAAGTACTGGCAGTGAGGAGACTCCCCCCCCCCCCCATGATAACCTGTGGCGCTGGGAAGTCTGAGGCATCCACGTTCCTTCCTGATACCCTGAACACCTCGTTCACCATGAACAGCTTCCTCTGTCCGTTACGTCATTCCCTGCGACAAAGGAAAACAATAGTAAAGGAAAAATTGACCAGAGGACAATGGTGGCAATCAAAACATCTGAGAGTGCAGTAGTCCTGGACTAACTACTGTAGATCCAAATGTTTTTCTTCGAGACAGAGGTGTTGATTTAACTGGCTGCTCTCATCTCTGAGGTTATTGTTTATAGCGTTGATGTTGGTGATGGTTTGTGACCACTGTTCTTCTTTACTAAAGCCCTTTTCATTAGCTTGCCACATGTTTTTCAGACTTGATACACGTTTGTGACCAGTGCCCCAGAAGTTCAGACAACTATTTGGCCTCTTTGTGTCCAGTTAATCAGGACAACTTCCCCAAGGGCCCTCAAACCCCCCAGATTCAGTGTGGTAATTGTGTTTCGGTAATTTGATTGATTGTAAATTTCTCGGGGTTAGGGTTACAACAACTAAGGCAGAATATCATTTGGCATTATAAGGACCTAAAGATGGGTCTTGCTTTATTACCTGAGGTCCTGTGTTCAAGAGATACACTGTGACGAAATCTAGTTTTAAGACCTTTACATTGTGCTAATATTGTAGGCCTACATATCCCTAAATTCATTTGTGTTTACTCAAATAACCACACAGCAAACAATGCCGGTATGTGATGACCAGCATAGGGTTACTGCACACAATGCACACAGAGCTGTTGAGGGAGCAACGGCGGGCTGATAGAGGTCCAAAGAGGTCCAGTGGCGTTTTGATACAGTGTGAAGTTGTGCCAGATATTCTGATTGTTAATGTTAGCTTTGATCCCAAACTTTGTAGCCATGTGTTTCTGTAAAATGCTCACTGTCTTGAAATACCCCCAACTACACACAAAAGACATACCAGAGGAAATGGAGGTGGAGGCAGAAGAGTGAAAGGGGGGTGGAGAAGAATTTTCTTCCAAGCAGCGACTGGTACTAACAAGGCGTAGAGCTGCTGCCATGCTCTACTATGAGCACTACTTTGTTCTAATGTAATAACACTGTCAGCAGACATCTTAACTCAATTAGAAACGACATGATCTACATTCCTGCTTCCTCACAGAAATTTCTCTCTGTTTGTGACTTGACTGGTAGCGTGCTACTTTCCACATGTGACGTAGTCAAATTACGATGAATGCAGCTTGTTGCCGACAATTTGTTCTTGTAACTTCTTCTTTGATTTTACGAATTCCATTTTTATAAAGAAATTGAGTTGTCCACATATTTATGATTTATATACTTCACTCAAAGGTTATTTGGCGTGTGCTTCATATATACTGCAAATCACATCACTTTACTGCTGTCCATTTTCTGAAGAATACTACAAGATATTAGCAGTTTCAGCTGATGGCAGTCAACTGAAACTTGGTTAAACTAGGTCATCCAACAGCATGAGATGAAACATGAGAGACATGGAAAACTATTGTTGCTTTCAAGAATGCTGTAATGTCAGTTGTTTTAGTGTCAGCCACCAGAAAGCAGTGCATTCTCAAACTATGTTTGTAATTAAAATCCAGAAGACAACAACAAGCAAACATGGGGGATGTTTCAAAAGTCTCCAATCTCAGTTATTCACACAAACACGAAGCTGTTTATCCTGTCCTGCTGCGTCACTGTACAGTATCAATGTAAGTTTGTCCAAAAACAAAGGGCATTAAATGTTCCCTGTAATGAGTTACCTATCTCAATGTTTTCAAAGTTTCAATTTCAGAATTTAATTATGACTCTACAATAAAATCCACTGAAACCAATGACTATCAGAAACATTAGTTTCTGTATGATTGATAAAGTTATGGGAACTATTGCGTGATTAAAGTTAAGGGATGATGATATTTCAGTTTTTTCATTGTCAACAAACCACGAAAAGCTCCAAAACAACAATTAATTGATTCCACTAACAAGTTGTAGAAAAAGCCTATTAACTCTTAGTCTCTTTTTAAACCTAATCGAATGGCAGTGCTGTCAGTTTTTGAGGCCTTTTTTTGTCCAAGTTTTTATTGAGTTTTGTTTTGGTCTGAGAATGTGTCAAAGTACTTCTTTGTCTTACTTTGCAGTGGAACCTGGTTTGCAGTGACTACTGGAAAATCCCTCTGCAGCATATCTGCTTCATGACAGGATGGATTCTGGGATACATCGTCCTTGGTACATTGTGCGACTGGTAAGTAATAATCCTATTTTTGTACAAAACCCCAAAGTGTTTTAGATATTAGATCAATAAAACAGGAATCATGACATAAACATGTGACAAATTGTGTGAAATATATATATTATTATGATTATATAGACTGATATTATAATTACTTATTTAATCTTTAGATGAAAGCAATACGACTGTGCCTGTGTGTTTTCAGGTTGGGTCGTCGGCGCTGTTTCCTCCTCTCCATCATTCTGTCCAGTCTGGTAGGGGTGGCCGTGTGTTTGTCCAACAGTGTGGTGGTATTTTTGCTGCTGCGTCTCTCTCAAGGCACCATGCTCGCTGGCGTGTTTGTATCCTCGTACATTGCCAGTGAGTATTCTGCACAAACATTCAACTGTTGTCCCACTTTTCCAACGGTTAAACTTCCTTCAGCCTTATTCAGTAATCGACTTCTCTGGGGGATTGGGGGAAAAAAATCCTCAGCTTCCTCAGACTCACGTCTTTGTTTATTTTACAGAGCACTTTTAGATTCCTGCGCTTTGCTCTGAGTCTGTCGTTGGCCATGCTTATGCAATGTCACGTTTTTGCTAAATAGTATTTTACTGTTTTCATTTGTTTTGGGGATTTGAATGTACACAATCAAAAAAAATTACACAAAGTATCAAAAGGCACACAAATGTGATAACAAAAAGGCAAAATAAGGAACTGATGGGTAAATAAGAAAAGAATAGTGACACATGGACAGTGCTGCATATCCATTTGTTCACAGTCCAAAAGAAGTGTCATTAAGTGTCATTAGGGGGAAAGTCCCTCAACGCCACACGTTCCCCAAAGTCTTGGTCTCAATACTGAAGAGTTCTCTGAACTACTGGTTGATAATAATTGAATATAAGTTCATTTGGATTTATCTTTATATTAAGTTTTTTTTTTACAGCCTGTTTCTTTTTGCTAAAACAGATATTTTCTCTTCTAAATCTAAAGTTATGTCAATGTTACATAAGGTTAATGTGATAAGTCGTGGCCTTGTGATACTCAGCGTAGAAAAAATTGCTGTTACGCTGGTTGCATGTAGGTTCCTGAGTTTGTGTTCAAGCAGACAGAAACTGCACAGTCAGTAGTCACTGTTTTAGTGCTTTAATCACTGAAAGCAAACAAAAATCCTTCAGATTGTAAGATAAATAAAAGTGCCCAACGCAAGCCTTTCTGCTAACCGGTGAGCTATATTATCAGGCAAAGATAAGAAAAATCCCATTATGACCTTACGGAAGCAAGAATAAATCCCGCCTATCTTATACCATCTTATCTTTATGTTAGGAAACAGCTGAAATCACGTGATATTTTTATTTCTGATGTCTGAAAGTCAAGAATAATACCTCAAAGGCAATATATTGACAGTTTGAAGTCAGTTTAATGTGTATGCTACAATGTTATACCGGTGATAGGTCAAGAGTTTAACCTTCTGTGGTTTCCAGGTGATTGCAGATAGCAAGACTTGACCAGTATAGTGAATAGATGCATCTATGAAAAAGATCTCACATGCTCTGCAACCTCAGGAGATTATCTGTAATCGCTTCCCATCTTCTCCTCATTTGATGTTTTTTGTGACATTGTTACAACATGTATGTTATCTGTTCAGCTTTCTTCATTAAGTCTCTCTGATAACATAAAGAATAATGTAATTACTTCCATCAGATGATAACCACGAGTCAGATAAATGGGAGATTATTGTATTAAGATGCTAACAACACATTTGGTTGTTGGGTGAGAACCTAATAAAGTTTGATAGAACACATAACCCTCCTTTTTAATTACATTTAACTTGGAGGAAATGCTGGAGGCTCAAACACACCAACCTGGAGCCAGAACTCTACCCACGAAGGTATTAGGTTGCTCTTTATGCAAGAAAATGTAAACAAATTGTGAATATACTGAATTGTTAGACGAAAACATAACAGTTGTTTGTCTGTCCAGTGACAACGCCCTTAAGATGTTTTTTTTTAGTACAAATTAATACATAGTCGGTGTCGGCTGTAACTAGTTTTGCAGCCACCGTAGTTTCTCCTGCACGCTCCGAGGGATGAGCTGTATTCAAATGGTTGCAATCTGCAACTTCACCGCTACATGCCACTAAATCCAGCACACTGGTCCTTAAAGATTTCAATTCTTGTTTAATTGGTGACGTCTGTGGTTACTGGTGGCAACAGCAAGTGTTTTTTTTTCTTTAACTGCAACAAATACAACAGAATAACAACTCTACGCAGGGCAACCAGACAGTTACATGCTGCATGCATTGTTTTATGTGACTTCCTTGTGTGTTTGAAGGCAATCTGAATCCAGTGTGGAAATGGGACACCCTGCTGAAAAAATGCCATCTTTGAATAATATAAAAAATGGGGTTTGATTTAATGAAAATCTTAACGATTATAACTGTAAAAGTCGCAATTTGATTGGCATGCACATATTGTGTCATTTTCTGTTGGTAGAAAATGTGTGTTTTTTTTGTATAGTAACTGCAAAAAAGGTGTACTCACCATTGGTATATAATATATATTGTTTACAAAGTCAAGAAAAATATGGACATTATTGCTTTTGCGTGGGTTTGTGACTGACTAGAAGAGTTCTGGGGGAATTTCAGATGACAAACATAAGTGTGTTGTGCTGAGCTTTGACTGACAGCAGGCAGATGGTTGGTTTCTCTTTACTTCTACCATTCAGCTGTCCTCTTTTAGGGGCTCTCCGGTGTACCTCTGTGATGAATATTTAGCTCCCCTTCTACAGCATGACTTATCTGTAATGAGATGTCACTGGCTGGTACAAATACTCGGTGTATCAAATACAGTGTGTTTTCTCTCTGGAACTCTAAAACAAGAGTGAGGCGGCATAGGAATGTAATTACGTTAGCATTTGTAGTAACTGAACACATTCCTGTGTTAATGGAGGTGGTACTCGGTAGTTTTAAAGGGGTCTCTTCTGAAATACACACCAATACTTAATTCTGTTTGACACACACACACACACACACACACACACACACACACACACACACACACACACACACACACACACACACACATATACTCCCACATTCCTGTGAGGTCAGGGCTAGATTTTGTTTTTTTAGGTTAGGCAGATGTTGGGCTGGGCGGGATGAGGGCCTGAGAGAAATGTTTCTCAGCAATGTCCTGCCAGCACTGCTTCTCCACAGAGAGGAGAAAACAATAGCAGGACAGAACTGAAGGCAAGGAAGTGAACAGGAAGTGAGCTCCTCATTTTCTGGGAGGGGGTGCAAAGAGAATCAGTGCTCTTCAACAGACTCTCACACAGCTTGACAGACTCCAAAACACGTTTACGTCAGTACCAGAGGTTAAGAGTTCTTAAGAGTACTCTCCTAGCAACTTTATCTGGCTTGTTGAACTTGTTTTTTTAGATGGTATGCATAATTTAGCTTTGCTTTAAACTAGGGCTGCACAATATGGTAAAAAATAAAATTATATTCAGATTATTTTGACAGCTATCGCGATATGATTCCTGATTAGTGCAAGAGTAATCATGTTTGCGCAGGCCTCCTCTCTACTTTAAACTAGCAAACACTGTGCAAATAGTTTGTAAAGAAAAAGAAAGAAAAGGTCAATTCCACATGATCCAGGACACTGGAAATATTTGTAAGATCACATCTGGGGACCCTGGGTCTGTAAGCTAAAAGGAAGAGAGTAGGGTCTGCATACATGAGATGCATCACTTCCTATACACTTTTAGGGTTAATTTAACTCCTTGCAGTGCCCTCTTTATAAAAAACACAAGAGAGTAAAATGTTCAGGTATGTGTTTTTCTGTAACCATACCATTACATTTTTATCCTGAGCGGGAAAGAGTTAAGAAATACTGGCAGCATGAGTTTAGGCACATATAATTCACTAAAAGGAAACACATGGTATATGTTTTCAGTTTTATTCCATAGGATGTATTATGTTACAATCTGTTTCTCATTGTTTTATAGGGGGATTGGAATGTGAGTATCAAAAAGCATTTTGAAAGAAGAGAGGTTTATTGTAGCTCAGGTTGTATTAACTGGGTAAAATACATTAATTTAATATATTTGTAATTGTCCTGAAAGGTTGATTTTCCCACACAATAATGGCATTCATTTATATATGAGAATAAGGATTGTGAATGCTTTTTCTATTACTATTCATGTTGTTTGGTTGTTGATAACCAATAAAGCCTTTCAGTTTTGATTACATTTTTTAAATGATGCCCTTTTCAGGTACTTGTCACTTAAGTTTTACAGTGTTTATTAAAACCTTTGTCTGCTGAAAACCCAATAAAAAGTAAAAAGTTTGTGCAGGTGGGTGGGATGTAAACCAAATAAATTGAATATATATGAAACAAATCCGATGCCTTAATCAGCATTACTTACATGAAGTTTGAATCATCCAGTAAAAACACACTTCAGCCAGTAGCTTTATGTGTGAAGGGTTTATGTCCTGACAGGCAACGGATTGGTTTTGGACAAATGTATTAGTTTTGCTTCAGCAGTGTTTTGATGTTATCTGTTCCCATCGCTATGTCAGGGTTGGAGCTGTGTGACCCTCCCCATCGTCTGATGGTTGCCATGGTCAGCGGCTTCTTCGCCGTGTTCGCAGAGCTGCTGTTGCCGGGCATCGCTGTCCTGTGCCGCGATTGGCCCGTTCTCCAGGCTGTGGCCACTTTGCCTCTGCTCCTGCTGCTTTCCTATTGGTGGTAAGTCATATGACAATATGTGGGGTGCGTAGGTGGACACACCCTGTTTGTATTTGATGAAGCATTAAGGGCAGTTTATTATTTTACAGTGGCGTTCAGTGTACCAGTCTCACATTGTGACACAGTATGATATGTTTGACCTTTTTGGAGTTGCTACTGCTCTAAGCTTTATAATAGCCACACCTGGATTCACATGTAACCACATGTTTAAATAAATCAAATCTTACTTAAATAAATGTGTGAGATACTCAGAGTTAGTTCAGTTACAAATTACAAATATACAACATCACAACAAGATAATTCAGTCACACAAAGCAGTTATCACACACACACACACAGACAACATTCACAAGTATTATACACATGCAAGTATAATCATAAAGTCCTCAGAAGAATTAGTCTCTAACTAACAGTTTGTTTTACAGCTAATTCCAGTAGTAAGATGTCTTCTCCTTGATTTAGAATGAGGCCATTAGCTCTGAACTCAACTGTGGAGTCTTTATTCTTGCCAATAAATACCAGGAAAAAGAAATGTGCTCATCTTTTCACACTTTGCTTCAATGTTATAGCGAGTGTTTGAGCTCTGTATCACTCTAGGATATGACAACAGAGTTGTTTTCCTCAGCTGTGCGTCTGTGTTTCCTGAGTCTCCTCGCTGGCTGCTGGCCACAACTCAGATCCCCCAGGTGAAGAGGAGCCTGCAGGAATTCTCCACCAGGAACGGTGTTTGTCTGCGAGATGAAATCTACCCCGGTGAAACCCTGCTCTCAGGTACACACACACACACACACACACACACACACACACACACACACACACACAAAACACACAAACACACAAACACAGACACAAACTGGCGTCAAAGTTTTTCTTCCATAAGAAAGTTTAAAACCCGTCAGCCCCCCCCCCCTCCAGTCTCACAGAAACCTATTTAATTGTAATAAAGAATTAAAATATTGGGTAAACAAGCAACAAAACAAACATTATCTTGATATAACATTACCGAGAGCATGAACAGGATGTCTCATGAGTGACTGCACAGGAAAAATACATTTCCCAAACTGTTTTAGACACAAAGCTCTCTCTGAAAGCAATACCTCTTTTTCTTTTCTCACAACATCAAAATCCACCTTGTACTTCCCATGTGGATTCATCAAAATAAATTTTTTCAACCTAAATGTTGACATCCTTGTTATCATCAGAGCACTCTGTTGCAGTTGCAGCCCTAATTTATGTGGGAACACCTAACCCCTCTTTCCCATTACAAATATTTCCTAAAGCCACACTGCGTCTTCAGATTTTATGTTTTGTGCCACAGTCCAAATCCCAAAGCCATTCAGTTTACCATGTCAGAAAAAAGCAGAAAATCCTAACAATTGAAACGCTAGAACCAGTACATTTTTAAATGATAAATCAATTCTCAAAATAGTTGCTGATCTAAATCATTCACCTTTAAGTTTGCTCGGCATGTTTTTTGGCTCTCGCCCTTTTCTTTTTTCATCCTCTGTTTCTGTTACAGAGATAGATTCAGCATACGGAGAAGACTGTCGGCCGCAGTACTTTTCAGTTCTGGAGCTGCGTTGGACTCGTGTTATCTGGAAGAACTGCCTCATCCTCAGCTTCACACTGTGAGTTCTTATTCTTAGCAACTTATTTGGTGATTGTACTTTACTGATTTCACCCATGAAATGTCCATGTCATGATAAAAGAGAGGTGCATTAAGTGTATTAAGTATTATATAACTCTCATCTCATCTAATCCAGATTCATTGGAACGGGCATCCAGTACTGTTTCACCAGAAACCTGCACAGTTATTCCACCAACTTCTACTTCAGCTACTTCCTCCGAGTTATTACCGGAGCACTGGCCTGTATCTTCATCTGCTTGTCTGTCAATCACTTTGGTCGGCGTGGTATGCTTCTGCTGTCTGCCATCATCACTGGACTGTCATCGCTGCTGCTGCTGGCTCTCACTCAGTGTACGTTACATCCACATCTTTTCTTTACAACATTATTTTACTTTAATAACATTTGCGCTTCAAAATTGATCCTGGATGAACCTCCAAACAAGCAATTACAACTTCTTTAAAGGGTTCAGGAAATCATGTATGTATGTACTTATATTTTGGAAATATAATGAAGACATATAGGTGACATACATTTTCCATTGTCTAACATGTTAATTGGGAAGTGGCAGTAACAATAGTAAATTATTGGTGCCATAAATTTAGTAACTTGTAATATTTTCTGATGACAACTGTTTAAACTTAATGAGACATCATTGGGACCACTGACATTACTTTGTTCCTTGAAGTAAGCAGTGGTGGTCTAAAGGTTACAGAAGCGAGTTCAATGGTTTAAACCCCTGGACCAGCACGATAAATCTGGTTGGGGAAAATGAAAGGCAGCAAGGCCATCAGATCAGTCTGTGTTTGTACTGAAGAACTACAATGAATTTTCCATATTTTATAGTAGAATAAAAAATTGGACAGATATTTTTATTTAATTCTCTGAAGACTCTGTAACAGATGTTGACTGTTGGCTGTTCATGAACCCATGAACTGGAACAGATAATTTCTGCAGGCTTAGATATGAATGAAACTGTAGATTATATTCTCATCCTCCAGGTCAACATGGGGCTGTAAAAATAAAATGCTTATGCCATATTGATAATTCATGTGACAGGTTTAAAGGTTGGGATCATGCAAGTTGTGGGTCCCTAGGTCAGAAAATGTTGATTGTCTCTGCTTTAAATGGTGCTGCAGAAAATGAATAAGTTGTCCCTTTCTGTGTCAGACCTGCATGGAGGCCTGGTGTTGGTGCTCTCCGTCGTGGGTCTGCTGTTCTCTCAGGCTCTCGCCATGCTCAGTGTGTTCTTTGCCTGTGAGGTGATGCCGACTGTGGTTCGGTAAGTGTGACAAGGCTGTCAAAATGCTTTTCTTATTGTCAACAAATCCCATAAAAAGACCAAAATGAACAAGTTAATCCTACTGAAAACTTGCCTGTGTAGCTAAAACCTGATATAATTTACTTGAAGTGTGTATTAGTTGACTGCTAAAAATATTCTCCTACAATTGTGCGAGGTTCCCTTGTTTGAATAAGGTTTGCCTAAAACTACAGTGCCCAGATGTTTTAGTGAATTATTTAGCCTTTTTAAAAAATTAAACAATATATTTGTGGAGATTTATTCTGAACAAATAGGCGAGAGGCTGAGTGCTACGTGGAGGTTGGAAGGTATAGAGATAAAGGAAAACAATGCCAAGACGGTATATAATGTATTACACCTTGACCCCTCACCCTGATGATTTTTGTTCCTGTTCCTGTTCCTGCTCCTGCTCCTCTTCCCTGCCTCAGCGGTGGTTGCCTCGGCCTGGTGCTGGCAGCAGGTAGTGTTGGCATGGCCGCCTCCTCCCTGATGGAGCTCCAGAATAACGGTGGCTACTTCCTCCACCACGTCATCTTTGCCTCCTTCGCCGTTCTCTCCGTTCTCTGCATAATGCTCCTACCTGAAAGCAAACGCAAGCCTCTCCCAGACTCCCTGAAGGAGGGCGAGAGCCAGCGCAGGCCTCCTCTCTTTCTGTCACGGCCCGACAGGGACAACCTGCCATTACTGTGCACCCGGCCCCCTTTGTCGGAGTACAACCCTGACAACTATTCCCGCTTGGTCTCTGCCACCAGGAAGATGTTGACTAAAGATAATTTGCCTTATAGGATTGCGGTGCCAGGTCATCCACCTCTGCTGTCAGACAATGAAACACAAGGAGAGGAGGATGAGAAACTGAGGGAAGCTGTACCTTAACTCTATTAACAGACCCTCCTCATCCTCCTCTGGACAGACTTGGATTATCCCTCCTCCTTCTTCTACACATACCTCTACAGACAGTCTACCACCATCCTTCATTTAATTATTGTCTGGCTGGTCATAACTCAACTGAAGAGCTGACCTTGGCTTGGATGAAGTGCACTTTAGAGCAATGGCTCCAAGTCTATAACTTTTCAACAATAGATCATTGTCTTCTTATATTTTGCACTAGAAGCCGTTATTGTGCTGTGACATTTTCTAATGTACATTCAAGTTCTGCACTAAAAAACAGTAGCCTTCTTTAGCTAAACTTTTTTTTCATCCAAGCCTTTGTGAGAGCTAAAAAAACAATTATTACACTGTTGATTATGTTGGCCATTGCAGCTGAGGCCACACTGCTCATCTGTGTGAAGGGATTCAAACCAAGTTTCACCAGAGAAGCTCACTCAACCGTGCGGTCGCTGTCTATCATGTGAGCAGCAAACCTTTGTCCATTTATTAGTTACTCATGCATTTTTGATTAGGTCTGTATTAGGTCCGTCTGATTCACTAGCAGTGCTGAGAGGATCCCAACAAGCACCGGGACAAACAACACCAGTTCGCTGTTGTTTTAGAGTTTCGTGTTATACTTGTGAAGCACACAAGAGGGCGCTAAATGATGCACTGATCATTGAATATGATGATGGATATTTCTCTTTCCTTCCTTGTGCCGTTACCAAACCTTATTAATCCAAATATTTTCCTGAGAAGTATTTTGTCAAATATTTGGATGTATTTTTGTGGGCAAATAACGCCAATGCCCAACCTTGTTAGGTTATAATCTATTATTTAAAGGTGCTATTTTTACACAACTTTTCTCTTCAAACACTGAAAGTAGCTGTAATATGAATTTGCAAATGTACTAACCACTGTAGCTGACAAACAAAATGTAAATAAAGATAAAAAAGTAGTAAAATGATATGACTGATTTCAAAGCCTTAGAATTTAACATCACCAATCTTAACTGAAGAGCATTAGATATTTTCACAGTTACTCCCTGATATAAGTCCTCTTTTTATATTTAATATTTAAAGAACCCCTCCAGATTTGTATTAAGACATAACAGAGAAACTTTCCACTTTCAGCAGGAAATAAAAACATATTTATGAGTGGAGGGGGACTTTAAGGATAAATAGTGAGGACATTCTGTCACGTTACTGAAAAGGATGCTAAACTCTTCAAGGTTGCCGTGTATGTAATAGGAGACAAACACACTATTTGATTGGCCTTCAGGAGCTGCCATTGTGTAATAGTTTATAATTTCACCTTCAGTGAGCCAACAAAGGTGCTTTTGTATTGATTGAAGGTCCTACAGTCGGTCAAAGAAATGCATGTTACCATTTTATTATGTGGAATCTCTTTCCATTGAATGTTTGCCTATCCGTGTCCTTTTCAAGTGAAAAGTGTTGTTACTTAGAAGTATTGACTTGTTTTTATCTTAATTATGCCATCACTTCACAGAACTTAATCGACCCCAAAGTAAAAACAGTGGTGGAAAAAAGCCACAGGGATGTCTTGCATCTATGAGGCGTTACCCTCTCAGAACACTAGATGGAGCACTTCTCTTGGACATGAACTGTACTGCTTCCTGTGAAAATGTCAGTATACTGATGTTGAGGAATATTTTTGTGTAAGTGTATTCAGATTACATTTGTGTGACTTTATCGGTATCGGTAACGTTTGCCCACAGCAGCCTCTTTCTGACAGTCTTATGTTGGGCTACAACAGCCAGACCAGTTCAATAAACTCAACTTGGTCCATCATGATAATAACAGTGCCAGCGTCTTTGTTACGATAACTGTAAAACTGTTGTATGTCACTGGTTATTGGTTATTAACCTGCAAAAAAACCCCATGAAGATCAGACAAGAAACAAGCTGTTAAACAGTAAAACCATTAACAGAGGTTTTCAGATTTTATTTGAATTCATGGACAAACTCTTGAAGCACATACACTCAGCTGCATTGGCAAGCGGCCTATGAAGGTGTTAATGCAATAAGAGCCTGTAGAGCCAGTGTGAGCAGAAGGGCCAGTGTGCTGAGTGAATGTGCGGGTCCAGCGTTGGGGTAACCGTAGCTCGTCCTACACGTATTCTTCACCTCTTCATATGGAATAGGAACATCATCTGGATTTGTACCATTCAGGCTGTCACGGACCTGACACACAAAGATAAAGACTGTCAGGCAGCAGACAGAAAGGCATTGTGACACAGCTGCCAAAGAACATGTTTACTTTTATGACTCCAATCATTTGAATGCTGTTCTGTATATAGAATTTATCTGACTGCTTTTGACTAATCTACTTTATGACATTTTGCTTCTACTTTACATTGCTGTGGTCACTTTGTATAGGAAGTATACAAGGAATAATAATAATGGAGTTTCTTCAGTTAGTAAACGGATCTGGGTGTATAAACTCAGCGGAGTTCCCCCTTTGAAGACAAAGTCCGGAAATAAAGTTTGCAGTGCTGCACAGATATGCAATTTTTAAAGCATATCAGATGTTTTTGCATGGAAGTGATATCAGAAACACACACTGGGCTTAAGGTTGACATTGTCTATTCCTCACCTTCTCAGCCTCTCCTAGGACACGGAGTAAGTTCTTTCCCAGAGCAGCTTTGACCTCCTCATCAGTCCATCCTCTCTTCAGCAGTTCAGCCACCACTTTGGGCACCTTGGACACGTCCTCCAGACCCTCTGGTAGTCTGAGAGAGATTTTACTCACAATTAACAGTTTTTTGTTTTGTTTTGTCTTTTACTGTCCAAAAGCTAATGTTTAAATCAACGTTGGAATGTTTTATACTAACCTTGTAACTCCGTCATAATCTCCACCAAAACCAATAATGCCCACCCCGGCCACTTTCTTTATATGGTCAAAGTGATCTATGGAGAAAGCAGTAACCATGAGAACAAATTTACAAATGTTAATATTTAACCAAGTCTGCGGTAGTCAAGGTCACAACAGTCTTTTACCAGCAACATCTGAGAGCTTAGCGGTCTTGCTGCAGGTCACATAGTCATTGTAGAAGTTCACCATGACGATTCCTCTCGTTTCATTCTGGAGACAGACAGGACGTTACATGACTGTGAAACACTTATTGACTTCAGGATTCAGGATTCAATACTTTGTTGCCATACAACTCGGTGCAAGTTGCTAGGGATTTGCTTCAGTGTGCTCAAGACATCAACAAAGTCAGAAGAAAAGGACACAGAACATGTAAATTCATATACAACACAAGGGCTCCAAAACATATAAGTACATATACAATATCCCACACAGGATCACACTTGACGCAGGCAGATAAAAAGGCATACTGTTCACAGCATACCTGGATGACAGTCCAGAAGGCTAGAGTGACAGATGTCAAGTTAAAATGACATGGTGCATAGGGATGCAGAGCGCAACCACAACTTTACAATAAATAAATCAATAAAACTAGTATGGGTAGCATAAACCCATATAGAGAAGTATTATAAAAACAATGTAAAAGATGTACAATTTATACATGCTCGTTGGGAGAACCTTTTTTCCAAAGGTACTGGTTCAAGGATGAAGAGCTGTTTAGATATTAAGGCATATCATATGGAACAAGACACTTTGTCTTTTCTCCTTTGTTAGACAGCAGGCACTCTGTAGTTACCAGGAACAGGGAAAGACAGGACCTGGGCCAAGAGTTGCATTCAAACGCACACTAATAATGATGCACACAAGGGTAATGACCTCTGTTCTCTTATCTAGACTATTAGAGAGCCCATCTACTAGGGATAACTGAGTTGCTTTTTTATCGGTTTGTTATTTTACAGTGCTGCGCAGTAACCCTTTTGTTTTACTGTTTTATTGCCTGTAACTGGGAAACTCCCATTATGCATTCATCAGATGAACTGGACACAAGGTCCTGATTTACCACTTTCTACCCTATGGCGTGATAAAAAAGACCATTTAAAGGGGTGTGTTCTCTGAGATAACAAGCAGTAAAGGCTGGATGTGTTATCAAAGTCAGCTTCAGTAGGATGGTCATTTTACTGCAGTCAGGCCATCGATTGTCACTTTATTCTTCTACTTTCCACGTTACTCCACTATATTTCAGAGGGAAATATTATACTTTTTGTATGTAACATATTGTAAATTACACAAATTTTCCCCAACATTCCCAACAAAGCAATGTCTATTTGTTTCAGATGTCAATGAGTTGTTAGCAGTTCCACCAAAGAGACATTTACCTTACTAAACTAACTAATATTTCACAAAAAAAGAAGTTAAAAAACAATACATTTGTGGAGCAGAACTTTGTTTTTCTTCTTTCCTCTCTCATTAATAATCTCACAAACCTTTAAATTCATCTTGCAACCTGTTGAGGGGCCCAAACTCTAGGCTGGGAACCACTGGAATAAACTTGAACCGGCTACAGCACTGAAATGCTACTTAGACAGTAGTTTTAACAATATCTTGTGTAATATATAATAATACATCCCTCACAGGGGCCATTTTTCTTTTGATACCTTAAGTACATTTCGATGTTGATAATTTTGTACTTTTACTAAAGCAAAATTATGTAAGCAGGATTTGTAATTTTACATTAACGTATTGGTACTTTTATTGAAGTAAAGGATCTCACACATACACACATACACACACACACACTCACCACTCTCTTGAGAATATCATCTGGGACGTTCCTCTTGTGTGGACAGATGCTGTAGGCGGAGGAGTGGCTGAAGATGACTGGAGCTTTAGACATGTCCAGCACCTGGTTCATCACTTTAACAGTCACATGAGCCAAGTCGATCAGCATCCCCAGACGGTTCATTTCCACAATTAGTTGCTGTTGTAGGGAAGCACTGTGATTGTTTTATTCTATATATTGCTTACCTTTAAATTATTTAATTTCTATTGTCACTGTCCTTCTTCATGTCATAACAGTGTATTGTTTAAGCATTTTGACATTAAAGAGTATGTTTTCTGTCTGATTCAATCAGACTATAAAACATGAACTAAATAGTTTTTATACGCACTTTACTTAACACACAGTATAAAAAAGAAAATATTACATTGTCAATTGTATTTACATCATAGGTGTTTCTTACGTCACTTTCTAATATTCATACTTTAGGAAAACTATGTCAATATTTTGATTGTTAAAATACATTTGTACCAGAAAAGGGCATCATTTCAATTGTGAGACATTTTCATTTTTACACACCTTGAAGTAATGTTTGGTCATGCCTGTAATAAAGTGAAGTCGAATGAACACATAGCGAGTAAACCAGGACAAAAGTATACATTTAAGACACTAATCTGTAACTTATTACGGATTATAAAGGATAATATACCCAACCTTGTGAGAACACTGACCTTGCCAAATGGAGACAGGCCATTATGTTGAGATGGCTCTGATCCAGTGTCGACAAGCCAGTTATCCGCCCTGACAAGAAAAAAAGCAACAGTTTCCTGTAGCTGAACAGACCACTGGAAGAATAACCAGGGATCATATTTCTAGATTCTCTTGAATACTTTATTCCCAAGTAAATATTGTGATAGGCCACAAAAGGCCACATACAGCACTGTACTATGCAATAATATTACAAATATACATTAGGTACATACTCTGAACTCAGACAGACCACAGAAGTAAACAATAGGTGGTGGAGACATTTTTTAATTCCCTTTTAAGGTTTCATCTCCGCCACCTACAGTTACAGTAAACTTCCTCAGCTGTATATCAGTGATCAGGATGAGCTCTGCAGTACCAAACAGGCTCTTCCAGAGAATATGATACTGCTGCCAGGAGGAATCCCCCGTACTCCCCACAGCACAACCAACTACTACAATAAAATGCTGTTTACACATTAATGATCTAATGACATAACAGTCACAGCCCTTTTTCTGTATTTGTACTTTTATTTTTACTAACTTTAGGTTAACTACCTAGACTTTTACTTAGGCAAACTTTCAATGCAGGACTTTTACTTCTATATTTTACAGTGTGGTGATAGTAGTAGAGGATCTTGATACTTCCTCCACCACTAGCTCAGAAACACACGCTTACACACACTTGTATGACTGTTGCGTGTTGTTTACATGTGTGTATTTCTCTTTGTGTGTTTGATGGCATAGATCTGCTACACTGCTGGCTCTTACCAGGGTGTGTTGCAGGAGTGTGTGAGTGTGAGGTAGCGGACCCCCAAATGGTACATGGTGCGCAGCGTGCCCAGACTGCTGTCAAGTGAGTGACCCCCTTCCACCCCGATCAGACTGGCTGTCTTGTTCATTCTGAAGGCCTCCATGATGTCTGTGCAGTGCAGACATGAGGGATGATGGGTGATTCAGTATGGAAGCAGAGACAGGTATGAGCAAAGTAGAGTTGATACTAAAATGTCTCTGAAATTACTAGCACACTCACCTTGGCTACTGGTGGCAAACATAAAGGTTTCTGGGTATTTCTGACACATCCTGTGAACCACATCTATCTGCTCCAGTGTTTGTCGGACAGCATCTTTGTACTGAGTTTCACAGGGAACATAGGCTGACCAGAACTGAAAGAGGAACAGAGCATAATGTATGAATTACCAGCTCCACTGTGTATCCAAGGAATGTTTATAGAGCTCTTATTTTCCTAATTAGAACCATATTCCCTTTTTACTGGTTGATTTTATGAATACTTTGTTAATATCACCCAGTGTGAGAAACAGTATCTCTTTTAGGGACTCATGGAAAATGGCTGCATTAAAGTAGTTCAAATTGTTAAAAACAGTCACTTCTCAACAATACATACCACATTAAATAAGACCTGAGAGACGACACGTCTTGCCTATTACAATTACAATTACATCCAGTATAAAGATTTTTTAAAGTGCTTGATGTTCTTTACTCCAGCTTGCATAATACAAAAAGTTAGTTTTGTCAAGGTCATAAAAAGATTTTCCACCTGAATGATCTACAGTATTGTGTTAAAAATTGATAAGACATTTTACAGAGGTAGGCAGGAAGTTTATCAAGACTAACACTGAACAAATGTTTTTTTCTCTGTATTATCAGTGAGGTCCATGCAGTTATAATATATAATAGAATCAAATCCTAAATCTAAGAAAATCCTGTTTAAGATTTCAGTTAGGGGTCCATATGATTGTGTATTTTGTTTTGTTTAATTTTAAAACTACTATAGCTATCAAATAAATGTACGTGTAGTAAGAAGTATTTATTACATATTTCCCTCTAAAAGGTTACTTAAGTGTTTACTTAAGTACATGTATTTATTTACATTCCACCAATGCCAAATTTAGATTTTTGCTGCATAAGAAAAGTATCTCCTAGATTAAAGATAAAAAACTTAATTTGGGTTTACATGCTTAGGGTTGGGAGACTAGTAAATCTAAATTGAAGCTTGGGTTGACTATATAGATAACTGTGTCATCTGCGTACAAATTAATCTTCACTAGCTTAAATTTTCATCTAATTTTGTTTAATTACATGGAGAACAAACAGGTGTTAATGTGAAACCTTTTTACTACACTTTTTGTCACCCCTTTTTTGGGGTACCTTGGAACTGCTCAGTGCAACTACACAGCGTCTTAATGAGGAGGCGGTTACTGGCAAGGCACAGGTGCTTATGAAGTGGTTGAAATATATCAATAGATGTGATGTTTTGAGAGATATGCCTTACACCTCTGAATGACATGACCTGATTTATGTATTTAATATGATCTCTTTTGAAGACAGGACATGGGGCTCAGCAGATAAAGAACCCCCTTAACCTTGTAAGGATAGTTAGATTTCAGTACCCAGTACATTTTGTTCAGTATGTACCTGTGCTCCCAGGCGTCCCTCCTTGATCTTAGGGATGTTGGTGTGTGTCGTTTCAAGCGTATTAAGATCCACTTTATTGAGCTCATTGTTGAATTGCTTTCGAAGTTGCCAAGGCAGGTCATTATGGCTGAAAGTTTGCAAAATAAAAGGTCACACACTCATAGAACATGTCTAAAGCTCCATAAAGTGGGATTTTACAGCAGGGAAGTTTGGCGAGATCAGCACTAGAAATTGCTTCCAGAAGTAAACTTTTACTACAGAATGTATAATATATACTGCTGTTGCTGCGGGCCAACAGCAGATAAACAGCAGATAATATAATTAAAACAGTCATGAAAAGCAGATTTTACTTACAAAAAATGTTATCCCTTACCCATCAATGAGCGGAGTCTCAGACATCAGCTGCAGAGCTCTGGTCATGTGTTGATCCTCAGCTAAGCTGGCAGCACAAGAACTGAGCCCCAGCGCCAAATATAAAGCTAAGATAAACTTAGATAGCATTTCTTAAAATTTTTACACACTTTTAAATACTCTGCTCTTCTTTTTCTTTGCGTCACTAAGCTTTCTCCCTTGTTACCCTAATCTCTCTTCTTGACCTTTCTTTAACTTCTTAGTAATCCTGATTCTACCTACTGCCGCTGGAACAGATTTCTTTCTGGTTAGCCAATCAGCAATCTAAAAAAGCTTTTTCTTTCAGATTCTCACTCGAGTTTTCTGTCTGTTTCCATTCGATGATGTCTTTGAACATCAACACAGTTCATTGCTCCTCCTCTCGCTTGAGTCTGTTTCTCATTACAGCGTCACCAGTCATAAATACAGCACAGTAGCTCAAACATTCTTACACTCTCTAGAATCATTAACTAACACGTTAGTTAATGAATAATATTCCTTTTGAGTGCTTTTCTAAAGTTCACTACATATTGTTAGGACAATAATATCTCTTTATTTAACATGACATCATTCCCATGGCCTTGGAAAACTCAAAACTGTTACGCAGAATCAGCACAGCAGTCTGGCTTTAATCAGTGCTTCAACCATCTTGATTGTGAAGAAAAATGATTCTGAATTTTATACAAAGTTAGACTACATTTAGAGTTGGAGTACTTTCGAGTAATTGCCTTTTGAAATTTTCATCAACGTTCTACTACACTACAGTAATTTTATAGATAATTTACAGTAAAATTACAGTTCAGTAGAGTAATTCTGCAGCAACATACTGTTCATCGCTGGAGTTGATGTTTGTCCGGGAGCCACACCATCACTGAAGTAAAAACCTTTGAGCCCTCGTGAACTTCAGACACACAAATCAGCTCTCAGTCTTACTTCAAAGTAGATCTGGAGGTAATATGGTAAATTTAATATGAGGAATCAGAAGTTATGTCATTATTATTTGCATGGCCCTCACAAAATAAATTGTGATTTACAAATGGGTTTGATGCAGAATGTGTAATAAACACAAGGATAACGTTATTCTACTTTTAGGGCTACAACTAATGATTAATAGAAATTAATGTGTAGATTATTTTCTAAATCAATTGTTAGATAGAAAAAATTACTTTTTATAAGTGACATGTTTGAATTTTTTGTTGTCAGAATATTCAGTATACTATTAAAAAAGACAAAGACCACTAAATTGAGAAGCTGGAACATCTTTGCTTAAAAACCCAATTAAATGATAAATCAAAGTTGTTTAATTTTCTGTAAATCAACTCAATTAACTAATGATTTCAGGTCTTTTTTTTATTTTTGTGTATATTATTTTGTAGGATTTTGTAGTGTTAGTAAACTACCTTTTTTCCTTTTCCTGTTTTCCATAATAATAGTCGTTAAAGTAATAAGGGGAAACAAGATAACAACCAGAGGCTGATAGTGATTAATGCAACCTCAAAGTATTAATTTCATATTAGGATTTAACAAATGAGGGACAATATTGTCACTTGATGAGTTGCTGTGGTAATTTGTAGCAGCTGATAGTAGGACCAGGATTTATCTTCACTACAACATATAGGAATAATACAGTAGATGAGATTCCCGTCTGTGAGGCTTCCCTTATGAAAAACTGATTTATAGCCCCCATTAACTCCATCTTCTTATCTCCAAGGCTGCTTTTCCAATTAGTCAATAAAGATGATGATCTACAGTATATGACTCCCACTGTACGGGGTCAAAGAGTAAAAAGGAAATATTCAGTGTTCATATTTTGTGTTGCAGTGTTTTACAGTCTTTAATTTATAGATTCCACCACATTTCAGACAGTATGGTTGACAGTTATTGATGAGTGATATGAGTCTGATTTTCAGTCACAGGGTGGGTTCCATTTGTATGACATGTTTCTTTAAATACATATAGAGATAATAAAATAGATTAATAGATTGTGTGCCTTGAATTTGAACAATGTACACTTGTGTATTTCAGAAAAAAGTAGTTTTTCTTTTAACTGACCACAGTCTTTTGACTAAGAGCCTCAACCAACTATGATTTACAGAAAAAGTATGCATCACATCCATCCTTCTCCATTAGAGTCCACTAAAATGCATGTTTCTTACCATAATCAAAAGGGTTAACACATACCTTGCATGTATGTCATGTTTAACACGGACATGAAGACGGGCGATGATTTGGCCGACACATTCATCAACCACTGTTGTGAAAAATAATGCTCACAGTGGAAAGATGCATTCTTTATGTCACATGTTAAATGTGTTAAAGGTTAAAGTTGGTTAAAAATTTATTTTTTGGGCAAACATCCACCCACACAGAGAAGAAATCCCAGCTGGTCTAATTATACACATTCCTGTGCAGAGCATTTCTATAAACACAGTTACCGTTAGAAACCAATAGTGTACATTTAAAAAAAATAATTGAATGTGCTGGAATTTTCTGTTCTTACAGATTGAAAGGTTTGTAGATAGCATCATGGAACATGTATCATCCAGCTCAGCCCAGATAACCTTCAACCTCGGCCTCCGCCGTTGTATGTTAGTTTGTCTTTACTTAATTTCCTTTTATGCTTACGTAAAATAAAACTACTTTTCCTCTTGTTTGTTCAAGCTTGAGCAGGTTGTGGCACTGCATGGTGTGATGTCGCCTGAAGAACGGTAATGTACAGCATATACAAAACCAGAGATAAAATATTATAAAGTGGTCTTTTTTTTTTACATCAACTCCCCCTCAGAACCCTCCTTCGCAACAGATAAAATATTTATAAATACAGTATAGCAGACCCAGACTTGTTTAATAAACTTAACATAATGAATGAGTTTCCTTCTTGTGTTTACCTCATGAGGTGGTGGGCTAAATCTTCAAATCAGTGTCATCTTTTAAATCTTCTTTAAAACTACACATTTACGTTGTCATATGTTATTTTTTGTCACAGTCTTTACTTTTTTTGTTCTACTTTTATATTTATTTGGCAGTTTGTTATAATTAAAGCATCTGCATACTCTCATCTTAAATTATTAAGGCTTTTACGGTTGATTAAATTGTGTTTTATTTACTTGTAGTTTGTGTTTGTACCTGTTGGACACAGCTCCTGATGACTGTCTTCTGACAGGTCAACATCTTTCTTTAATTAAGTAGCAGTAGACATCTGATTTATTGTAAATGTAAAAACACTGATTAGTGCAGCTTTATACTTTATTTAAACATGCAAGTCCTATTTAGCTGAGAGACCTCTTTTGTAGGCGAGAAGACAGCAGCATGTTACAGATAAAAAAACGAGTCAGACAAAACTATTAAAAACAGATGACAGTATGAAAAAGGCCAGCTAACTTCCTTACACTGAAAGAAACCAGGTGAGGGTGGAGACAGATTACTTGGTCCCAAGCTGGACAAAATATAAGAGCTGACATTAAACAAAGATGCCTTTTGTAAATTAGGCATTTAGTCTTTGTATATTGTAACCAGATACCAGAGGTGGCAAATGTACACACATTCTTTACTCAAGTAGAAGTATAGATACTGGTGTAAAAAAAGACCCCAGTAAAAGTAGAAGTACTAATTCAACTTCTTTACTGAAGTAAAGGTGAAAAAGTGCAGGCTCTGAAATGTACTCAAAGTATAAAAGTAAAGTACTCTCTTTCAAGTTTTTTGTAAAGGAGAACTGAAACTTCAAATGTCTCTGTCTCTCTCTACTCCTTCATCTTTGTCATTGTTCTTTTTTTTTGTCATGTTACATCATGCATGATATGTACCATTTTTTAGGTTGCCAAGGCATGCAATGATGCAAAAGATTATATAATAATTGATCTGCCTGTTTTGAAAGTAGTAAGTACAGATATGTTTCTAAAAATGTAATGAGTAAAAGTAAAAAAATATATATATTCTGAAAAATAAATACTCAAGTAAAGTAAAGATACCTGGGACTTCCCACTTTTGCTAACTATACTGCAATTTGTCTTTCCCCATCTGGCCCTTTTAACAACAGACAGATTTCACCCTTCTGTTGCTAAATGATCTGTTATTTCCTTTCCTTGACTCACTGACATCATGTCTAAACAGCTACTATAGAAACACCCACTCAAACCAAATTTAGGAGAGAGGTTTCCATTTCCTCTTTTATGCATTAAGTGTGTCTGTTCATCTCTCTCACACAGAGAGTGACGTGACGCAACAAGGAGACAGACAGGGACAAGTAGAGCTACAGAAAGGAAAATTATTCACGAGGCAAATAAAAAAAGAGAGACAGACCAGAGACCAGCAAATACATATATCATTGTCGGATATGGCCAGGTTGGATGTCATAGAGGTGTTTCATGGTATTTCTTTTCCTGGACATCTGCACACACAGGAGTCTTTGCAACTTGCTCAGAAATTTCCATTTAAGGACACGGATATCCTCATTGCCTCCTATCCAAAGTCAGGTAAGAAGAGAGGACAACCTGATCAGGATACATGTAGTGTTCTTAAGCGTAATGCAACTTACCACACAGGCATACTGAGTAACTCATTGCTGACACGTTGCTGCAGTTTGTTTAAATAATACTGTGGCTGACATTTATATGATTATTTTGCAGTGTGTTTTTTTTTTTAAAAGCATATTTTTTGTTGTTTTTATGATTGGATTTAATGAAAAGTCAGTTTACAGATGTCATTTGGTGTCTGTTTTCTCCTCACAGGCACCACATGGATGCAGCAAATTGTGACTCTCATATCCAGCAAAGGGAACCCAAACTTGTCCCAGACTGTCCCAAACTGGACTCGGGCTCCCTGGCTGGAGCAATATTATTTTTCTGTGCTACTGGAGGCCTCATCGATCACATCTCGAGTTATCACCACACACCTGCCTCACCACCTGCTGGGCCCTGCCCTCCAGGGCTCCAAAGCCAAGGTCAAATTTACATGTTTGAGTGACCGCATAGACCACAGAGCCATTAGCTGATAGTCCAATATATCGGTCAGGTCAATACATAGTATTGCCAGTTAGTTAATTGGTTGTTATAGTTAACTTAAACTAAATTCAAACTAAAACTAGGGGTGAAAAAACATTTAAGTTAACTAAAATAAAAATAAAAACTAGACTTTAGAAACTTAAAATCACAATATTATGTACTTACAAAACTAACTAAAATATAATAAATATACAGAAATTTCTTTAATTTTAGTCTTTGTCATTTTGATCAAATTTGTTAACACAACAAGCATGAAGAGGCATTGGTGCATATTGAGACTCGGCTGTCAACATGACATTGAGTCATTGTGTTGTAATACCTATACCCATTATGAACGTCCTGAATCTGTGCCCTGAAAAATAACCCCATATTATAATAAACTAAAACTGAAACTTAAACTATATAAAAACCTTAAAAACAACAACACAATACAAACATGACCCTCTTACTCTGTGTCCTCTCGCAGGTCATCTATGTGAGCAGAAACCCTAAAGATGTAGTGGTGTCCTTTTACCACTTCCACAAAATGGCAAACTTCCTCCCCGAGGCTGGCACATTTTCAGAATTTTTCAATCGATTCCTGGAGGGCACACGTGAGTTGACGTTGGGACAAAAAATATGTTTTATAGTTGTGTTTGCATGTGAGGATGCACTTACTTCAGCTCTGCACCCCAAACTATAATTTTATAAAATGTTCAGTATTTTGTCACATGTATTTGTTTTAGTGTCCTATGGGTCCTGGTTTGACCATGTTAAAGACTGGACCAGTCACACAGCAACAATGAACAATCTGCTTCACATCACCTATGAAGAGATGTCGCTGGTAAAGGAATCGATTAATTAATTCTCGTCATACTAAAAGTACATTTTTAAATAGACAGCTAAGCGCACAATTTTTCACAAGATACTTATCTTGTTCCCCAATCACAATGGCTGAGACAGGTCTTTAAGTAGAAGTTCCTGTTGTTAAATGTCACTTTGCAGTCACTTCTTGTAACTAAGCTTGCATATGTAACCTCAAATCTTACATCAGAGGATATGTTTTTTTATTTAGCATTTTACAGAAGCCATTGCACACTGCTCGCAACCAAATTCTTCCTAATATTATAACATATAACATTTTTATATCATTATTATTTTCTTCTACCGGCTGTCAGGACCTATATGGCACGATAAAGAGGGTAAGCTCTTTCCTACAAAGCAACCTGGTGGAGGATGAGGTCAACAACTGTGTGAAACACTGTAGCTTCAGCAGCATGAAAAACAACAAAATGGTCAACTACACCCTGATTGATGAAGAGATAATAGACCATAGCAAAGGCTCCTTCATGAGAAAAGGTGGGGCTCTGTTCTGTTATAAACAGATAAAGCAATTGATTGATTGTGTCCTATCCCTCCCAATATGTGATCCAAATGTTAAAAAAACAACCAAACAAAAGTGATTTTACTGCAAAATAATACGGTAAAATAACAAAGAGGCCCCAAGAATAATCTGAGGGGTCAAAAAGTTATTAAAGAAATTTTAAAAGGATTCTGTTGCACAGATTTTCTTCTCTACTTTTACCTTTGAAATATGGATACTTTAATCTCTTCAGACCTCTAAAATCCTTCGGATGAAACTATCTGAGATCAGAGAGAAAAATATCTTTGGTTTGCTTGAACTTCTCACAATTCATGTCCACATTAAAGCCATAACCCGTAAAAAAAAAGGTCACAAGTAAACATTGTTCCAATTTAAGGTTTCATAAACCAAAAATATTAGGAACTATTGTTTTAAAGCACAAAACATTACAACTAGACATTGACACAAGTTAGTAGCACTTTCTGATCCTTTTAAAGACATTAATAAATTAAATGTTGTTTGATATTTTGAGAAATATGTTTATTTATTTCCTTCAGGGACATAAGTAAGCATATTTCCCAAATGCCAAACTACTGTATTCCTTTTAAAGCTTTGTTTTCATCTATAAAGTCTGTAAACAAATGAGTCAACAGTCCTATATTTAAAATCATGTTCAGTTGAGAAGAACTAAAATGCTTTTTTGTGCTTTGATTATATTCAGTATGTACATTTACCTGTAGTTTACACTTGGCCTTCAATTAAATATCATCCTTTTTGCTTCAATCCTTGTTCCCTTCCTACAATTAAGGCAAGATTGGAGATTGGAAAAACATGTTCACAGAGGAACAGAATCAATATTTCAAAAGTGTCTTCAAGTCCAAGATGCAAGACTGCACTTTAGAGTTTGTGTGGGAGGAGCCAGACAAAGAGGAGATGCACGCACAAACTGTGAACAAAGCCGAATGAAGTTTGAAGTCATGTACGAGACTGCACAAGTGGAAGGTTTTCTCTTAGCTGTACTTTAAATGATTTTAGCTGTATAAAATCATACTAACATGTAGTAAATTCAGTCCTAAATTAAAAATAATGTTCACAGGACATTTTCTGACATGCAATGTTTAGTAGCCAATGCCTCTTATATCCATTGCTCTTGCTTTCATAAATGTGTGTGATGTGCCGCTTGTGGTGATGTATTCACAGTTTTGATGCGACAACTGTATGAATAAAAATCAGATTAACTGAATCCTCTTGAATGCATGGTGCAAATTATGTGTTTTTTGGTACATACAAGTGGCACTTAAGGTTGCTAATGTGCAGTACAAGCAAAGAAATTGACAGTTATGTAAGCGACACAACAATAAGCAGAGGGGGAAGGACAGGTCAAAGGTTTTAATATAAAGCTCCTTGTCCACAGGACTGAGTCGTCCTTAAGCGTCCTGTCACTTCACACACCCAAAGAAAGGTGTTGTTCCCCCTCCAGTTTTAATGCACTGGAGTGCTTTGATTGAATCCTATTGAGCGTGTGTGTGTGTGTGTGTGTGTGTGTGTGTGTGTGTGTGTGTGTGTGTGTGTGTGTGTGTGTGTGTGTGTGTGTGTGGAGAGCAAACATACGGTACAGAGGGTACAGTACACACTGTGCTCTGTGACTGCACGGATGGACTCTGATAACTGGTGGGAAGGCACTAGTCTGGTTGATATGAGCATTAATCCACAGTGGCTCATAGCTGACATCTGATTTATGGGCCACATTCATGTTGTATGATATAGCTCATATCCAACCACAAAGACGGTCAAAACAGTTGGAACACCCTACTATCTAAGATCACTTGTATGTCGGTATGGCTGGGTGTAAAAAACACTGTTATTCAACATTTTCTTTATTTTGTCTAATAATTTGTGTTTTCCTCCATCCTTTGCTTCTAACCTCTAATTTATGCTAAACTATATAAAAATACGCTAATTTACTTTCTTGCCAAGATTTAAATGTGAAGATCAATACCACTCTTATGTTTGTACGGTAAATATGAAGCTACAATCAGGAGATGGGTTAGCTTCTCATCTAACCCTCAACCAGACTGAATAGTTTGGAGTAGAAGCACACTATTATCAAATTGTCAAGTTAATGTTCAAAGCAAAAACAAAAACAACAACATATTGTTAATGCTGATAACACATCTTAACCATACATTTAATAAAAGTTAGGAATAATAAAACAAGAAAGATGACATTTTTGAAAAATAAATGTACATTCTTTTACAGAGACTGAGCATCACAGGAAGCTGCGCCCTCCACAGTGTTATAGATGTAGACCAAAGTATAATAAAGTTGTGTAAACCTTATTATGTAGGTGCAGAGATGACAAAAAACTGAAGCCAGTAGGTGTGCAATCCAATGCCAGCTCAAAAAACGATGAGAAATAAACTCACTCAAGAGCTTTTGACCCCTGTTGTGTGGTACAATAAATTATATTCTATCCTGTTGCACAAATACAATTTTGTGAGATGTTGTGGTGTAACCATAAATTAGTTATTGTCTCTCTGAATTGTGTCACAGCTATGTTTAACAATATCAATTGAAAGGGGAAACAAAATAGAGGAAATGCTCCTCTTGTAATATGTGACTGAAAGACTGTAACATATTCTACCTTTAGCCTTTGTCGTGACACTATCTCACCAAGTATGGACTTGTCAATCTGACTAACATAAACAGCTTAACCAAACTGTTATACATCAATACCACAATAAAATTTTGAAGCACAGTTGACAGTTTGGTTGTTGAAATCCGGAGATTAATTGAACAACTATAGCTAAAACCAGCAGTGTGATCCACGGTTAAATTAAAAAGGGTTCAGTTGCCTAGATCTGTGATTATCCAACTTTTTTCACCACGTACCACCTCAGAAAATCTTAGAAATATAAGAAGATTATTGAGTGTTGTTGAATCCTGTACAGAAGAAGTTCAAGAACCAGAGCTAAATTGGTGGAAAAGAGATACTAGTGGTCTACACTTCTCTTCCTAATGGTTTCCATTTACAGACGCAATTGCAGTGAATCTTACAAAACAATATGAATTGATAAAAGACAGTCATTTTAAACCAGTCAGCTAAATAATAGACGTTTCCTTTGAGGGTGAGGATGGCTGTCATGTTGCCATAGTAGTACCCCCTTTATTGGAAACTAATTGAATACATTGTGTTTCAACCTTTTTTTGGACTAGAGTAACAATTAGAGAAGGCAGCTGAGTTGCATTATGGAAATGTAGCTGCCATGTTTTGACAAGCAAGAAGAATGCGTGGCATTAAAAAAAGAAGCTGTATCAATTTTTATCCCTGTCTTTTAACTAAACCATCATGAGTGCAATGTTAGATTGGCGAAGTACTCTTTTATGCACTGAAGAAGGAGTTTAAAGGGCCATGTTACTCAAATTATCAAACCATTTTCTATTTTACTTTTTGTGGTTTCTAGCCATGCAGAAACTTTTGCATTAGTTTGTCCACATTTGAGAGAGAGAGAGAACCTGGAAAAATACAGTAAAACTTTTCAATTAAAAGCAGGGTCCCTGATAGACACAGGTCCCTTTTATTAGCCTGGTGTCGCTACTTATTTTGACAAATAAACGCAGGTCTCCATTAGAAGCCTGGTCTGGATTTTATAGAAATTCTTTAGATGTATAAAACCTCTTAAAACCCACTAAAAGATTTGCTCAATCAATAAATCATGAGCACCAAAATATCAAATGATCAAATGAATCATATGTTATTTTATAGTCTTATTTTTATACAACATTCATACTGGTATAAATAAACAATTTTATGGTATTTCCCATCTTTGCTTAGTAAGTTAGGACATTTATACCCATATAGAGCCCTGTTGCAAATAAAGGCAGGTTGACTTTAGTGATTGATGCAAATAAAAGCCCAGGCTATTAATTGAAGTTTTACGGTAAAACCAGAAGCCTCTGTATGGCCAGACACTAGAGGTAAATAAGAAAAAAAAGTTTTCTTGCCATAGTTAAGTTTGTACACAACAAAAAATGTAACATTGACAAGAACCAAAGAAAACAGATTTTATGAAACTATTTCATTAATCTAACATGCTCTTCTTTGATAAATACTGAAGGTTGTTTTAAAGATGCTTGAAGTACATCCAAGCTTTTGACTTTTTGTCCCTTTTATAATCAAGGCTACAGTTGTAAAAAAAAAAAAAAAAAAAAAAAAATTGTCATAACCTTTTATCTCCTGATTCAGCTGTGTGTAGATCATCTGACTAATCTAATTTAAGCAGCAGCTCTAGTCTGTGTGTATTTGTTTGCTTCCAGAGAAACAAAAGTGTTCAGTCGGTACCCATGGTGCCTTACATAAACAGCCATCAAGCTTAGTTTGGATTGTACAGGTGTGTGTCTGTGTGCTTGTGACAGCTTGTGTATATGCTGATCTGTTTTTGTATTGACTTGTCACGTGTGTGTGTGTGTGTGTGTGTGTGTGTGTGTGTGTGTGTGTGTTTGAATAGTGCTCCGGCCTAATTTGAAAGAAATGATATTCAAACTAAAGCTCATGCAACCTTGAAGACGACTGTCTCTTTCCTTTTCAAAACATGGTGTGAAAGCCTGTTTCATGAAAGAATCATTATTCATTATTCAATTAAATTATTCTCTGTAAAGTGGATTCAGCTGTTCAGAAAGGGAGGACATGTTAAATGACAGGAAGGTAAAGAAAACTGGTCCTTTGTCTGTGAAACAAGACTTGATCTTATAGAATGGTTAAACATTTTATTGTTCTATATTTAATGATACACAGCTCCCACTTTTTTATAAACGTGGTTTGTCGCTTTCTCTACTTTCACCTTCTGCCACTAATCTTTTTGATTTTTGTTAAACGCGTAGAGAATAATCAAGATGACAAGGGCTCCGATGTGCTGCTCTATCAGCTGCTAATAAAGTCCATGCACGGGCACACACGTGCATACGTACACATACAACTGTATCATTCAAGCTCTTTGTTGTGCACACGCTCACACATTTCATCCATGTGAGAAGCCTCTTCACACCTCTCCATATATACAGCTTCAGACTCTGCTGAGGGGAAGGAGGTTGAAGGGCAAAGCCGGTGTCAGTGTTAATTGCCTCGGATCACGAGGGTTCAAACTAAACAACAGACTCGGTTCTAATTTGGGAATCTTTTTTTTGTTTTTGAATGATTATTACTATTATTATTGCTGTTGCTAGCCTGTTTTGGGCAGGGAGGAATTTTCAGTTGTGATTTAGCCCACATATTGAGAGTGTGAGTTTTATTAATGTTTTTTATCATTAATGTGAAAGAGACCATATGATTTAAATTGTTATTCTTCATAAATATTCTACAACCCCACACTTCTATTCTGGCTAATTAAACCTCTGCTTAGGTTCAAGTTGAAATATCATGAATCAATAAGCGTGGTACAAATAAAAAGTACTCCCACTCTGACAAATTTAAATATAGTTGTAACATTGCCTCCTAAATCATTGGGAGAAACCGCCAGCATACTAGACTCTTTACAACATGTTTACAACATGTTCACAAGTCTTTCTTTGACTTTCAGAAGACATAAATCATAGCTCAACCACAAACCAACACTGGGCCGTAGCTACAATAACTATCTCTACTTCTGCACCTGTTCATCTCATATTCACTGTTTGTAGTTCTGTTCAGCTACAGTTTATCATAGAGCCACTGATTGTTGGTCACATGAATGAGAAAGTACCTGGAAGTCTGATAATGTATAAAGCAACAACATGATGTGACTCCTCTGGCCACCAGGTGGCCTTGTTTAACCAGCACGCATATCTCTGGCAGGATGAAGGCATTTAGGAAGACACACAGTGTTAAAAATGTCAAGGTTTCTTGACCTGTCTGGATGTATCATCCTTTACGTAGGCTCACTTGGATCCTAAAGGTGGACTCTACCAACTGGACACATAAAGGTCAGTTTACTCATCATTGGTGGTACTACTCGGCCTGTGACGTGGCTCTGGAGGGAGCTTTGTTAAACGTGGGAAAATTACCTGACATCATTTGGGTAGACATATATTCCTTTAAGACTATTTCAAAATATTGCCCAAAGAGAATGACCCATTAGAAATATAATTATAAGAGAAAAATAAAGTGTTGAGTCCATACTGAGACAATAATTTAAAGGGCACAAGCACCCTTAGATTTTGTTGACCTTAAATCTTTTATTTTAGGGACAAACCTGCCATATGTCTGACTTACAAGCGTATGGTTTAATCTGAGAAAAGGCAGCTCTGTAAAAGCTGCATAATCAATCCTCTTGTCATCCTCGGAGAAGGAAGAAGGGTGCATTTGTACAAAGCTGCTATTGAAAGCGTGCTGACCTTTTCTCTGCTGCTGTGGTATAGTAACGGAACAATCCATGAGAAGGTACTGTTGGAGAGGGTTGTGTGCACTCTAAACTTCTCACAATTACATCCATTAATAATCCCAACAGCCATGACAGCACAGAAATTAAATGGAGGATTTTCTCATCCTGCAAACGTCTTCTTCAAAAAGAAAATAAATAAATAAATCACAGAGCCTCTACATCAGGAAACAGCACCTATCATTTTATTTTTAAAGGTAGCTGAACACACTGCTTATGCAGCTTCTTAAACTGTATGAATTATAGATGTTTTTTTTATCTAGTTCAATTTATTTGGATATATTTATTCCCTTATTTATAATTGAAAACGTTGCTGGCACTTTATGAAACTACTACTGCATCGGTTTGCATTATATAAGAATACCCTGACAATGTTGTTAAGTAAGTTGAGTGTTTTTATGTGTTTTTGTGGGGGAGATTTTATTCCTCCCAGTACTTTATTGTAACAGTAAAAAGTATCAAAACTTAAAATCAGATAACTCTGACCAGCAGGAGCAATTGTCTTATCCTTCCACATAGGAGACTGGTAATGAGACCACCAGATCTTAAGGGAGTCATTGAGGTTGTTGTGCCTCAAACAGGAGAAGGTGTGACAGTCGTGGTATTTGCTTGACATTTTATCCTTGTCAGCTCCAACATCCTTCCCCACTGTGTCAGAACCTGAGAGGGCACCTAACAGCTGCAGAGAACGCAAAGTGAGTTGGTTTATATCAGCATCATACAAACACACACAGATTAAGATGAAGAGAAGAAGAACAAGAAGAACATACTGTTCCACATTTAAAGAACACTGCAGGAAACCAGATGTGACTGACTGTACGCCTAAGAGGTGAGGTGGGAGGAGAAAAAGAAGATCTTTAGCCTCAATCATTTGTGTGAAAACATAACAGCCTGATGTGTTTTTTGTTCACATCTCATGGTTTTTATTTTTGTTCCAAGGGACACAGATAACCTTGAATCATTTGTACTCGTTCACACAGGACATTTCATGTTGCCACAGCAATACAGCACATCCATTTTGGAGATGTTGACCAAGCTGCATCCACACTGAGATGGATTTCATGGGATCTATTATGACACCTCATTAATACTTATTTAATCAGCAAATTGTATTCGACTGAAAAATGGACATTCAAAACACAGGCTGTCACTATAATCAGCTAGGGCAAAATCAAATCCTGCCGCCACAGAAAATGGTTACCAAGAAGGCAGTGCTGAAAGGAGTTTTTACATCCTTTACTTAATTAATGTACACCACAATGTGAAACACTGTTATTAGTAAAAGTGCTGCAATCAAAATCTTTGATGCCCCCTTTTAGAATTATGTATTATTATAAACAGTATATTATTGGTAGAGTATTATTGGTGCTTTAACATTTAAAGGACCAGTGTGTAGCAAGTGGCATCTACCGATGAAGTTGCAGATTGCAATCATTTGAATACAGCTCAGTCAATAAACCTGCAAAAGACATGAAAGGCCAGTGTTTAGTTTGTCCTTTCTGGATTACTGCCAGTTCAACATGGCAGCCTCTATGGAAGACAAACTGTCTCCCTCTGTAGAAACAGCTCATTCTTATTTTCAGGATAACATCTGCAGACAGTGGAAAATAGTGCAATGGTAAACGCATCAACTGACAGTGCTGAGCCTGAACATGACACTCTCATGAGGACGGTGTATAAGAAGAATGTGAGAGCCATTTCAGCTTTAGGTTCCTGCTAAAAAATAATGTAGGATTGTAAATAAACAATAACAATGAGGAGAGAAAGACAACAGCGGCACATACTGTTTTGACGCTTTATTCTTCCGTTCCGTTTCCTGATCATATCTGTCTAATATTTGAAGGGAAGTATCATTCATGACCAAGCAAATGTGTATATAGAGCTTATCTATGACTAATAAAAGAGACACAGTAAAGCCTGTTTTTGCAAGCAGTGGAAAAAGGTTCCTCGGGTGATACAGTTCACCATATCTGTTGTATTATTGTCTTGTCAAAAGCTTGGTGTGTCTGTGTGTGTGTGGCAAGTACAGTAAATATAAAGGCAATCGATGAAGCTCAGAAAGCTTCAGTTTCCCAGTTACTCATGAGGACAGAATACATAATGTGGCAGCTGTGTACACAGCATGCTTCCATCAGCAGACTAGCCTAGAAAATACCATTGATTTGTATAATTTCTATCTCAAAGCGTCATTCTTGTGTTTGATGACATAATCTACAGATGGCAGCTATCAGCAGTACATTCGCCTCAACGATGAGTTTCTGTTTAATGTGAGACACAATCAACAATAACTGTACGTGTCGGGATGAATGAACAGAGAGCGCCTCATTTAATAACAGAGTAGACTAGCTCTGTGTTATCTTTGTATATCTAATAATGGTTACCATGATACACTATTATAAACTGATGTTAAAGCATTTTTCCAAAACAATGTTACAACCAAACTGCACTTGTAAATTACACACATACACAGTTACAGTGTGCAGCAGTTTTTTAAATTATGACAAATGTGTTACAAAAGAACTGCAAAAGTTTTCAGCAACTGGGCCTTTTTACTAAATTATCTCCATAATTAATATTCTAAACAAATTCCCAGATGGACAGGTTGCTGAGAGATACAATATTTCAAGATTAAATGTCATCACCAACTTCATCCAAAAATAAAAAAAATCCTTGCTGAGGAAATGAATCACCTCTGAATTAGACATTCAGTCATTAGAAATGATGTATCATACTTAGATTTGCTGATATATATTCATTACTCGACATGTAATTGATTTAATGCAATAAATCACTGAGGCCCATATTCTTATAATTAATAGTACTGACTCAACAAGTTATAAGTTACAGCAAATTTATGGTCACCACAAACAAAACTTGGTTATATTTTCCTTCTTTTCACACTTAGTAACTGAAACTATTTTGGGGTTGAGGAACAAACACAAATAGCCTTAAATAAATATAAATGTATCTGTGTACACATACAACATGCTAACACAATATTCATCATCCATGTTAATTCTGGTTTAAAGTGCAGTAAGAGACTGTTCGTGTTGTGACCTCAGTCAGTGCTCTGCAGGAGTGATGGAGCCAGAGAGAGTACACTCTGAGACTCGTAGAGACTAATGGCCCTTGACAGGGATATTAATATTTTAGAAGCCATAGAGGAGAACCTCCTGCACCCTGCTGTAGACCTGCTAAAAAGTACTTCTCACACTTCTCACCCTTCAACAGCTCCATTTTGGTTTTTACCCCAAAAAAATGTCAAAAGATGTCATTGAAACATTACGTATTTCACTCGGCTGCTAAAGAGATTATTTGTCTTTAAATCTCTCTTTCTGCTGCCAGTGTGATATCGGTGACTGTAAACCAAGACACACTGATGTATGCACTGGCTCATGATGGACTGATGTGTGCCGGATGTTCCTCCTGGTTTATGTCCGAGCAAACTCCTTACACTAAGATGCTTTAACACACAGGTTTTGGGTGTGGTCAGAGTTTGCCAAAGTCTAGTGAAAGATGCAGGATAGTCTGCCTGTGAGACCCAAATCACAGTACACAGACCAGGTTCAAGGTGTCAAAACGTAAGATCCAGTGGATATGAAACTTAACTCATATATTCTACAAGACTCTTGAGCTACTGGAAAAAGAAAAAAAAACATATGTGAGGGTCACTATTCAGCATGTGATGATCATTGGAAGTCTGCAGCAGCAAGTCAGAGGAGTAAAGATCATGCAAGACTAGGTTGATGTCCTGCAGAAAATTAATGTTTAGTTTTAGTGGTTTTCTTTGTGAAAGCTATCTGTTGAATCTTTATAGCTATAATTAGCAGATTAAATAACTCATTATACATATTTAAGATGACAGTAATGAAGGCTATCAGTCTCGATATTCCCATCCCCTCAACCCAAGGGTGTATGTCCTCACATTACACTTAAAAAGACTCAGAAGAATAAAACCAGTCATGTCCACCTTGCACTTTATTTTTTTCCTACCCTCTTATCTTTCCCTTTCATATTGTATTGGCTGGACAGGCAGCTGTCAGCCTCCCACTTTTCTGGAGTGGGGGAAAGCACTTGTTTTTGAGACGGTTCATGAATTCTGACAGAGTGGACACATCTGCCAGACAAAAATATCTTTGAAGTTCTGCTGCTATTGGTGGGGAAGAAAAAAAACATCTGCAGGCAACACTCGAAAACCACAAATTCTGAGTTGTGTCATTCACTTTTATTCCATCGTCAACTTTTGCTTTCACGCTCATGACTGCACATGATGAAATGTTGTTTCAACCATTGAAGCTCTCAAGTTCTCTTTTCAAAGTTAAAGGGTAACTTTTAACCTGGACCCTATTTTCTGATGTTTTTGTGTCTGAGTGACAAGTTTTTTAAATTGTTCCAGTATTAAGTGAGTTGCTGGTTGCAAATGTAATCCTTCCAGGCAACTGTCCACGATCAAGTTACGTTGTTATTCTAAGGGTCCGCCACACATCTGTGAAATAGTAAGATCCTTTTTTGTTTAACCACAAACAGCCGTGTGTTGCTCTTCACCAGACTCCATTGACAAATGCAGTAATTTTACCTTGCATATCCTCGTAAAACAAACTTCAGTCCAACATGACAGGAACAAAACTCACCAAAACCATCTTGGTTTGTCTGTCCGCTGTTCCAACAATCATTAACTCTGGTTTAGTCGAAATGAAACCTTAATTCAGAGTTAGATGTCCCTGTAAGCAGCGTCCTGATACTCCTCTCCTGATACTTTCCCATCCAACTCTGGGAATTAAGGGTTACTTTCAACCAAGTTGGGGATTGTTGGAACAGTGGAAAGAAAAACCTGGATGGCGTTGGTGAGTTTTGTTTTGTATCTGTTGAATTTGAAGTTATGATGATCTGCAAGAGCACAGCAGTTTACTTTCAAATCATTGTACTCCAGAACAATGTTTTCTTATCTGTTGCCACTCGTGGAGGATAACATCTCTCTCACTGCAGTCTCTTGTGTCAAAGTCAAACATTTTGTTGACCCATTCAGTCTTACTCCTGTGGATTAAATGTCATTGTATGCTCAAAATAAACTTGTGTTTAATACTTTTTTATTTATTTTTAATTTATTTACTAGGATTCATACTAGGAGTGTATTTTTTCTCTTTTCCAATCACAACATTTAAGTAATAGATCACAGATGTTATATTACAAGTATTTAATAAAATTAACCAATACATTGCAATGATTTCTCTACAAAATCTTAAGAACAGAGCCTGAAGCCTTACGGCTGCCGTGAGTACATCTTAGACATTGCATCAGAGCGCAGAGTGGATGAATTCTCTGCATCTCCTCTGATGACTCTGTGGATCCAGGGCAAATATGAGGAAATCTTCATATAGACTCCATAGTTGTACCTGGTGCAGGACTTGTCATAGGAAAGGATCCCTGCAGCATAAATGTCCCCAGTTTTAGCATCTGTGACAGCCAGAGCGCCTCCTGCATCACCAAAACAAACATTTCCCCCAAACTTGGTGGCTCCGGTGCAGAACATGTTGTCGTCTACAGATGGTGTGAGCGCGATACGTTCATATTCTGCCTTACAGATAGAGTGATCGGCCAAGGGGAGTATGAGGTGTTTGAGTGATGTAGCAAGGGTGAGGTAAATCCCCCAGCCCCAGCCGGTGATGACTCCTGACCCTTGCACAATGCCTTCCAGGTCCTGACCTCTTTCTGGCAGGGGGATGGGGGTCACTTTATCACTCATAACCACAGGCTCTTTGAGCTGGATCAGAGCCAGGTCGTTGTCCCAGTCAGACTGGTTCTGGAAGCCTGGATGGAGAACAACCTGCAGGAGGGGAAGGAGAGAGAGGAAGTCTAATTGAGTGTGTGGTATTTTCATTTAACTGTAATGCAGTAGCACAGCAATAAAAATGTCCCTACAACTAACTAACAACTACAAAAACTAACTTTACTAACTTTACATCAAATAGCTCTATAAATATATCTATTTTCACAATCTCTCTGTCAGTGTCACACATATATTTTGTGTCTTGTCACAGTCCAGTAAAAACGATTCAACTCCAACTTGGAGATTTCTATGTTTTTAGATAAATCTGGTGATATTCTCTATCTTTGTTACTGTCAACAAATCCCATGAAAAGTCCAAAACCAACAATGCAAATCTTTAAAGACTGGTCTAGAATACATACTTTTACTCATTAAAAGGCTTAGTAATATTATACACAGGATACACAGGAAATTCTTGTTAGTATGGAAATAAATAGAGTGTCACCAGCCCTATCCTTTAAAGGATTACATGATCCTGTATGTAATAAAACATAGAACAAAATAATGAGAGTAAAAAAAAAAGAAAATCTGTTTTTTTTTTGCTCACCTTCTCCACAGCAACCTCTTTGGAGACATCAGCTTCTGACCGGTGTGTGATTCCCAGGTACACTTTAGGAATGATGGGATCTTTTCCCTGAATGTCCTGTCGACTTTTCCTGACAAAAACGTTCCTGCCAGCCGTCAAAATCCAGCGGTCTGAGATGAGAGCACCACCTGCATAGCCTCCGTCCAGCACACTGTCAGAAATGTAAACCATGGCCTGCCAGGGGACGTGAGGAGCCAGAGTCCCCGCAATCATTCGCCTGGAACGGAGTGATGCTACCTTGGAAGCTGAGACATAAACACAGACATAAGTTGCATGAAAAAGTCATGATAAACTGTGAGAATGGAAGAAAAGAAATCTGCTAAAATCAGCAGCTTCAGCAAAGAAGAAGCTGCTGGATGAATGTGAGGGGCTGCGGTTTGCGGTCATACCCGGTTTTGTTGTTTTAATGTGTGCATTTGTGGGCTGTCGAGTTTATATTGTCTATACATATCTGTAATATCTGCCTTGTTGATGTTTTATTCTGCTGTTGGCAGAGAATTTTACTTATATTGCTGTTGTCAAGTTTGTCCCCTTACTGGTTAATTCTAACAACATTATAGTGAGGAAGGTGGTATAATGAACAAATTGTAAGTAAATTGATAATCAGTTTATATGCAAAAGCTTGCCAAAGTTTGTGTATGTACATTAGTACTCTTTCCATCGCTGTTTTTATGCAATAATCTTTTATACCGCTGACTCCACAGCAACCAAGACTTTCTCCAGGTTGCAGTCTGCTCTTTGATGACATCTATTATTAATCTAAAGTTTGTTCTAAACTCCAAAAAGAGCACATGTATGTATTTAACAAAAGCACAAAGCTATGATGTTCTAAAAACATTAAAGTTTCATATGCTGGATTAACATTTCATTTGTGATTGCTGTAATTAGAGTCTGTCTCTGATAGTTGTGTGTGACTCGACTGTTTTCCTCTGGTTTTTATCTGAAATTACTCTTAATTTCAAGGAGCATAAAGCTGTGTATGTTAAACACTGTTGACAACTTTTTTGTTCTTCCCCCATAGCATACTGTGGTAATTTCCAGAGACCCGCTCTTAAACAAAGCTTTGTTGTCTGAATACGATGCTTTCATGCTCCATGGGCTTCCTCCAGAAACAATGGCCCATAATGATTCATCATTAAGCAAAAGAAGGGAATCCATCCACTCTCTGTGCTGTGATCTATGTGTCTTTTGTGTGACAGAGAAAATGAACACTGCTTCAAGTGATCTTGAGTGATGGCAAAATTGTTAGTTCAGGGCTGGCTCCATTCTGCACAGTGAAGAAATGAACTATGTGTGATCATTCATTCTGATTTAATTCTACATCCATGATTTCCAGTGTCTTTTTTTGAATTAATGTATTCAATACAGTACACAATGGCTTACAGGCATAATTAAATGAATGAATGACTAATTCATTTAATGATGATCAAAATAATAAATTTACAGACACTGCATTAATAGAAAATGGATTCGAATTAACTATATTGTTATCTCGGGAAAACAAAGTTTCGTTATCTCGAGATCTCGAGAAAATTATCCCGTTATCTCTGGAAAACAAATGAAATTAACTCGTTATTCCAGGAAAACGGAGGAAATAAAATGCATGAATGCATGGCCCTTTAGGGCTTCCGTAATTAAGTTCCCTTCTCTTATCAACAAATATTGTTTTCCACAAGCCTTCAGCCAGTTTAGTCAAATCTCTCACTGGTGCCTGATCACTTGGTTTATTGTTATTTTTTAAAAAGGACTGTTTGAAGAGAAGCAAGGAAGCAGGCAATTTCCCTGTCAGATACTGTAGCGTTACAGCCAAATGAAGAGCAATATCTGAAATGAGCAGTAATAGCCGAGCCCTCAGATCCTGCAGGGTTGTCCGTGTCATTTCATGCAAGAGTTATCTATCTGAACAGCAGCTGTTGAGGAAATATTCGTGTAAAACTGTAGCTTCAGAAAACTGGAGCCTGTGGTCGCTTCGATCCACTTGAATGTGAAGTTAAAGGCTGCTGTTTAGATCTATGGATAAATGTGGAGTTTATTGGAGTTGTATTCTGGCTGTGACCGTGATTCTGAGAGATTCTGTTTAACAGAACATGCTATAAATTTAGGTTTAGACCAAATAATAGCCACCTTGCAATATTGGGCTGTCGGTCTGTTGGCACTTTGGTCCAGCATTAATTACTGTATTTCAACCACTATTGGGTAGATTGCCATTACATTTGATACACATATCATGTCCTCCAGACGATGTTTTGTAATAACATTGGTTGTCCCTTCACTTCTGAAAGAATGCCATCATCGGGTCAAATTTTAAATTTCTCCATAACCTTGGTTTAAAGCTGTGGAACTTCATGACTGATGATCTCATGTAACTAAACTCAGTTTTGTCTTTTAAATCTCTTATATTTATCGTATCGCTTTCTCTTAACTGATGTCTTGTGTTGTAGTTGTTTTGAATTATATTGTTTTTTAAAACTTTTAGGATTCTATTTTCTCTAACTTGGCTGTAGTGCATTTGTAAGTTATTTTAGCAAAATACCTGCAAAGTTAATGACATTCCCATCAGCCTCAGCTGTACTTTGTGATTAGAGGTAATTAGCAAACGTTTGCCAAAAAAGGGATGGTGAACATGGGAAACATTAAACCAGATAAACAGCATGTTGGCATTGTGAGTATGTTAGCATGCCAAAATTAATATTTAACTCAAAGCAAAGATTGTCTTGCTTTCTTTCTTGCCAATCAAATACAGCACCTGTATATTTATTATAAATATAGAATACTAAAGTAACAATTAGAAATTGGTTTTGAATTGAGACACCATGTATATGAGCATGTTTGTATATGTTATTGTGTGTCTGTGTGTTACCTGACACAGAGCGTTTCATCCTCTCTTCAGTGTGAGGCACATCTGCCAGACAGGCCCATGCAGCCAGCAGGAGCACAGTCAAAGAAAACCTTCAAAACAACAACAGAGTCAGATGATAAACAAAATTAAATGTTTTCTGTTATTTTGGATCAATTGAGACAATAAAACTGGGCCCATTTATGGATTAAGAATGCAACAAATCAGTTTTTTTTTATCACAGAGTTACATAATTCAGTATTTGATCATTTGCAACAACTCGCAAAGCATTACTGAATAATTATTGGAACATTAAGTTAGTGTTTTAAAAGATCAGAACTTTCATAGTAAAATTATGCTTAGTTTTAGAGATTGTAACCGTTCAGTTTTAAGTAATAATAAAGCTCAGCCAAAGATCCCAAGTATATAACATTTAGTACTAAGAGAGAGAGCTTAATGCTCAGGTGTATTTAGATAGATTCAAAAACTACAAAGACAATAATGTACTTAGGATTATAACTTACCACATTCTTTTGGTAATATTCATCTTCTGCAGTTATACTCTCTCCTCTCGAGTGCGTTTTTGCATTTTGGAGCCGGGAGGTATATATATATCTGCTGAAAATTAGAACCTTTGCCCTGGAAATTTCTGCCTTGCACAAAAACATTGATTCCTGGAATCTGAAATTAATGATTGCGAAATCTCACTTTCCATCAGTTCAGAGACTCGTCTGGATTCAGGAAAAAGCATATTTATCCATGACAACCCCGGTTTCTTATATAAGTAATACAGGAAATTCAGCTCAGTCTGTAAAATTACACAGTAATGTCATAGATCGCACAGCACAACAATAGGTAAAAACCTCCAGTTCATGTTTCATATAATTATATATAATTCATGTAAGAGTTGAGCTCTGATTGATTGAGCTACTTTTAAACTGTTCAGCTCATTTGTCAGTCAGAATGGAGGTTTTTAAGAAGGAAACCATTTCAGAAGTCAGTGTTTCATAATTCCCTACAGTCACTAACAGTTTGTACTGTTTGCATCATAGTTTTGCATCATAGATGACTAAAAGTAAACAAGGCTGACTGACTAAGATTTTCTTTGTGGATAAGAATAATGATATGGCAACACATTGCAATGTTTCTTTTTTATTATAGAAAATAAGGCACATATTTCCTCATTATCTACAGTGCAGTAAATGGTTAACTTTAGAACCAGTGAGTCAGATATGTTGCAGGGAGGAAAGTCCAGCATTACTGCTTTGGATATTTGCAAGAGGTCACAAAGAGGTTCTAGAGGGTTGTAATTATAACGTAATTTCAGGGTTTGCCTTGATGATTTAGCATCTGACAATATATGTAGTGCAATACAATGGATTATTGAAAAATGCTGCAGTTGTCAAGTCACACTCTAAGGTTAATGTTAACAAACGATACAGTAGTATGCAATAGGGATATAATGATACACTATGTGAATACAATTAACGATACTGGTTCACAACATGATTATTTTTAATTGAGGACGAGATTTAAGACAAATTATGACTGAAAACTATTCCTTTATTTCTCAGACAAAAATATACAATATATATTTTCATTTATATTTATCAAATTATAGAATCCGTTCCTTATTTCTGAGGTAAGGTGTGAAAAATTCCGCATATTTCCTTTTCTTTGTAAAAGTAAAACTGATGTCTTTGTGCCTTGACACAGCTTCTGAGCGATGTTAGATGTTCGAAACAAGCAAAGTCAAAAGTAGCTAGCGCCCTCTGCTGTAGAGGGTCCCAATTAATTTTTCCTCTCACCGATTTAACAGTCTTACGATATATTTTTACATCCTAATGCACAAGTTACAGTGTTTGTAATAAAACACAATCACAGTTTTTTTGCATTTTCTTTTTCACTGTCAGAATTAACTGGTTTACTGGTGTGTGCAGAGTGTGTATTTATATTGTAACTATAACAGTATGTACATGAATAGTGACACAGAAAGTGTACACAAGGTCTCCCTTCCCCTTTCATGCAATCAGTGATTGTGCACGTGACATGAAACGCATGAAACACATGAAACAAGCCTAACTAGAAAGATTTCAGATTGATATCTTGGACTTCACAGTTAGATTAGTTGTGCAAGAGGATTTAACATAGGTTCTTGAGAGCCTTGAGAAACTATTTCCTGAAGGTAATCAGTGTAGGCATATTATTAGATATGAAAATCAAACACTGATTTCAAGTAATTTCATGGTGGCAGTGTTAATCAAGCTGTATAGTATTCACTGACCCGAGGCAAGTGCACCCTTAACTAGATCGGACACAGAAGCTGTTCATTTAAGAAGCACTTCTCTTCTCTGAAAGTCAGCACTTTAACCTCATAGTCATCATTTTATTTTAAGTCCACTGAGCTAGAATACAGAGCCAAAATGACATTGTTAGACTACACTTACTTTTAGAAAATAGTAAGAACTATTTATAGATATATTTTTTAATAGTTTGTTGCAGCTGTTTTTAAGCTGTGCTATCTGCATGGCTGTGGAAGGAAATGTCTGCCAGTTGGTTCGTCCACTACATTTTTTCCAGACTGAAATATGAACAACTATACGGATTGCAACAAAAACTTAAACACACATTCATGTTCCCAAGAGGATGAATTCTTGTGACTTTGGTGATCCTCTGACTTTCATTCTAGTGCTACCGGCAAGGCAAAGTTTCCACTAATTCAAATCTCTAAACATCTATCAGTGTTTCTCAAATCAACCCTAGGGGTACTTTGGAGTACTGCAGAGGGTATGTGAGAATTTTTTAAATATTGAACATTCTTAACTGTAAAACCCGACAGAAGAAGACTGTGCCTGGAAAAGAGTTTGACTGCAGTTGCCTCCCTGCCACAGAGAGAGATCTTCAGTGAAACACAAGTCCATGTTTCTCACTAAAGAAAGTGTAAGTTCAATGCAACTACAATGCCGTCTTAGTGTTATAGCGTGATGACAAAAAATTGGTTAAACATTTGAAATGTAGCATTTAAAGTTCCAGTGTATTACATTTAGGAGGATCTATTGGCAGAAATGGAATATGGCTGTAGGTCATAGTTTCTCCTACACACTTCACAGCCCGTTGTCATTCCCAGGTCACATACAGACACAAGTGCTATTCAGTTAGATGCAATCTGTAACATCACCACTGCCATCATCTGGTAAAAAATTGTCCAATGGTTTATAACTAAATATCTGCAAAACTTGAACACATTGAACTAAGATGGTGAACAGGGTAGGCTAAACATTATACCATTAACATTAGCATGTTAGCACTGTTATTGTGAGCATGTGACAGTAGTGTGATGACCATTTAGTTAAAAGCACTACTGTGCTTACAGCAGTTAGCATGGCTGTAGACTCCCAGTCTTGTTTCCCTAAGAATAGAGAAACTATATTTTACAGTAGACAAAAGAGATGAGACCAGACTTGACGTCATTGTGATTACATGGTTGGCATCTAAGACCCCTAGGCACCAGGAATCCCCATACAAGTAGCAATTAAATAAAACAATTTAGCTTTACAGAAATGATTTAATAAAGGAAAATAAGTTACTGTCTACAGGATAGATGAAATATCGACTGTGCCTGTCACCCCAGAGAGAATCCATACAGGTGTATGCTGCTTGTTTTCTGTTGTATTCACAGCATGACCTCTATCGGAGCTTATGCCATAATATTTGGCAGCAGGCTATAATGCAGTATGTTTATCTTTAATGTTCTGTAGCATTACAAGGCCAGTCACTCAGGTTACTGGACCCCATGTATAGTCAACGAGAAATCAGGTCAAATCTTATTGGAAAGCAGAATTAGACATACAATGTGACCCTTACTATAACATGAAATATGTCCTATCTCTTTGGCAGGTTTACAAAACCCCTTCAGGATTAAGTTACATAATGCTGCTCTGCATACACATCGCTGTTTAGTCCTTCTCTCTGGCCTCATCAACATTTCTTCAGCATTTAAACGCCACATGTGAGCTTCAATTTTCATTTCATTTTCAGTGTCTTTACCTTGAGTAACTCAAGCCCGTCTCAGGGAGATTTTTGAATGCAGGGGTAGTGTCAAAGCAAGGTCAAATCAGTGATGTGTCCAGCGATGTGTTGTCCAGTGTTTCCAATCATGTCTGAGGTCAGGGGTCTCACTTGAGTGCTGTAGTCTCTGCTCCCTGCGGACAACAAAGAGGATGAGATGTGTGCCAGACATTGTCAGAGAAATGCACATGGGCCAAGGCCATCGGGGGCAAAGCTGGACAAATGCCCAAGAGAGGATGGATGGATATTACCCCCTCTCATACTGTAATACAGTCACCTCTTATTAGTACAATGTAGTATCTTTCTCCGACTCTATTTCTATCTTTGTCTCTCATTCATTCCGTCTTCTCTTTTTTACTACTACTAAGTTAAATGTTGAATTAATATAATGAAGTGTGGACTGAAAGCAAGATTTTAAACGTGATGGAAGCTGTAAGATACAAAGCAATGGAGATGTTTCAGATGGTAAGGAACGGGGGGAGAAGACTTATTAAGACTAAGACACAAGTCTTAGTGCTTAGTTCATATTCATTGCTCAGATCAGATCAGATCTCTTTGATATTGACTACATTTTTAAAATAAATGTGAACAGCCAGATTTCAGTGAGAGCAGTTCATGGTACTGAACTAACCCACATGTAAAAAACAACAATAGCATGTCATACAAGGTCACATGCAGCACGCTGTCTCACAGAAGCAAATATGGCAGTCCCCTCAAGTCAGTGTTTATGGTTTCATTTATAACTTGATGTGCAGTGAAAGCCAGCAAATTCATGAGCATTGAGACAGATATTAATTATGGCTTTTTGGTGGAGATACAACTACATCTGCTACATCATCTCCAGAAGACTCTCACAACAAGACGTTTGAAAGTCACATAAATTCAGATACGACAATCCACACTCAGGTCACGCTGCAAAAACATCAGACCTGTATCTGATTCAGGACCACATATGAAAGTGGCCCAAATCATAAATGAAAAGATCAGATTCTATGTGATTTGTGCTGTTCACACTGTTATGAAAAAAAAGTCTGAGTCACACATAAGAATAAAAAAAATAAATCGGATTTGGGCCACTTATGCCTGCAGTCTGAACATAGCCGATGAGAGGTGGTGGGGGAGGCACATCAGAAGGAAAGAATGACAAAAGGAGAGTAAAACGCTGCTGTAGACTTTACCTTGAAGCTCTAGGGGAAGAGCGTGTGCATGTGATAAGGACTGCAAGCCATGCAGAGGGTGAGGGAAGGAGAGGGGAGGTGGAAGCAGTGAAGTGGGGGCTAGAGGTTGAGCGCTCCAAATAACGGAGAGAGAGGCGGAGGAGGGAGGAGGGAGAGGCTGAATCACAGGGACAGAGAGCTGGAGTGTGTGAGAGGCTTTGTGCTTCATGTGCTTCTCAGGAGGATGACTGATGAGAGGACTACAGCTCCACTTTCTTTTTCACTGGAGGATTTTTAAATGGATTCTACTTCCACTAAGTCATTGCTTTAATACTGGAATGTTTTCCGGTTATTAACCTCTGTCTGCACAACTGCTCCATGGTCCATAACAGCAGGAATGCCGGTAAGATCATCAGTTTTTTGTTTGTTTGTGTGTGTGTGGTATTATATTACAATTATAGTTTTCCATAGTAAATACCAAACAAGGAGATAAAACATCTCTACATTTGAGCTTTTCTTTTGTATTTTTAAACAATGCCAAACTTGAGCGTTGTGAATGCATGTGTGTCAGGCTGCACTTAAGTGTGCATTTGCATATGAATAATTTGTTTGGTGAGAATTCTTAACTGTTAGTGGTCTTGAATTATATTAATTTGCAATTTGCAATATGTGCCATTTTAGGTAAGTACTGCAAGTAAAAGGTTTCTATATTATTGCTTTAAGTAGACTGATGTATCTTGTTTTTCCTTTCAATTTTTCCAGGTCTGTTAGACAAGTTTAATTGTTAGTAAGTACAGCAATATCAGCCATCAAAACACTTAAATTAAGTGACTGATAAGCCTAAGATAAATCCCTGGGAATGTAACAGGAAGATGTTATATATATAATAACTAATTTGCATTTCTTGTCTCTTGATGCACATGCATTGACTGGCTCATGTTTGCATGCGGACACACAGAGTGTGTTCTTTAGTTCTGTCCTGTTGAATTTTAATTTCACTTTTCAATGAAACTGTTACAGTTGGTACTGTTTTCGCATTTTGATACACCAAGAAGAAGGATTAAATATAAAGTTATTTTCAGAAAATACATGAGCATATCAAGTGTTTTCTTAATCAAGATATAAAATATGTCCTAATAATAATAATGTCAGCATAATTATATTATTTGTCTTGTTTTATTCCAATGTTTAAAATTGCAGTTTGGGGAAGTGTTTCCTTAAGGTTAGTTAATATGAGATTGTTTGAGGACACTTCCATTAAAATACACTTCAACCTCTGATGGACCTTGAAGATTCTTATTTCCAAGCCAGAAATCAGTTAAAAGTGTTTGAGGATGAAACTGTCAGGTGGATTCCTGTCTGATGTCTAATGGTTCAGGTATGCAGCAGCTTTCCACTGAGTGAAGTGAGGTGGGGTGGGTGTGACGTCCATTAGCAGTGTGTAATTTAGACTGACGCATTGACACGATGGACGGACACACACACACACGGACACACACACACACACACACACACACACACACACACACACACACACACACACACACACACACACACACACACACACACACACACACACACACGAAGTTTCAGCAATCACTTCAAGTAGTGTGCAATTAATATTGTAAGTACACAGGGCAGCAGCGTTTAATTAAAGGGTACAATAGTGTTATAGTAGTAATATGACAAGGCAGGAACAATGAATTAACTTCATATTGAAACGTATTATAATTTATTTAAGAATTACGATATATTTACAAGACATGGCATTCCTATGTTAAGAGTTTTTAAAAAAGGTGTTGTTATTATAAATATAGCTTGAATGTTTTAAATATATTTTTACATTATTGTCATTGCTGGGGAACAAAATACTGGGTTTAGCCTGCGAAGAAGGGTGTGTTTTTGTGTTTTTAAGTTCCACATGTTTGACTCCTTTGCATGACAACTGTGGTGAAAGGTCACACAGGCTAGGTCTACTGGTATCCTGTTTTACACTTTGTTATTATTTAATCCGTACTGGCTTGTTCAAAAAGTTCCTGCGGGGTAATTTAGTTACCCCTTTGTATGCACAAATATTACACAATAACTAATTCTCAAAGTATTGCCTTCAATTTTAGAAAGACATTTTAAAATGTTGACGTATTTACAGTGTTCATATCCCTTGGTGTATTTTAACTGGAAAAGTGAAGGAATTTTATTCAAGCTACAATTACTGGGAGAAATTATTACGGAATGGAAAAACTAGAGTGACTGTTGGGCGGGCAGAAGCACAGCAAGAATAAATGTTGCCAGATGAAACTTTAAAGAAAAACAAGAACAAAAATATTCCCAGTTGTAAGCGAGACATTAACACAGGGGACGATGAAACAACAATGACAAGAAAGTAACACTGTTTACGTGTTTGTATCTGTGTTTGTGTGTGTATAAATGTGTTGCTTGTGCACTTATCTGACAAACACAAGGGAAACAAACACAGACAGAATGACAGGCCAAGATGTGAGGAGAAAGTCGTCTTCCTGCTCATGTGCTGTGGCAGTCAGCCTCAGGCGGCTCTGAGACAGCCTGTCCATTATTACTGAACATGACCCTTCTGTGCATCAGGCGACCTGGCCTGAGAGCCCTGACCAAGCCCCCACGGTCTTCCTACATATGCCTGACCTGTCACTCAGGGACACAGCCCTGTCAAAGGAAATTCACTGCATGCATGCACAACCTAAACTTCGGTCTCCAGAGAACGACAGACTGTAGGCACCATCAAAGGGGGCCCCTGTTCAACATAAGGTTTATTTTTGCACATGTGACCAAATCTGGTTTATGAACACTTGTGGGAGCAAAAGCAGTTATTATAGGGAGAAGTCTCGAAAATGGCTTTGAGGCTGCCTGAATTGGACCAGTACCTCAATACAGCACAACTACTAACCCTAATTGTTCTTACCATATTTCATTTCAAGGACATTTTCAGCGTTGTTTTCTTAGCATTAAGCTAGTGTTTATACACAGACACAGTTGCATGGGCATTTAGGGGGACCTACACTCACCAGAGGTGGCGCTATGCAGTAATCAGAATCAGAATCAGAATCAGAAATACTTTATTAATCCCAGGGGGAAATTACTTAAGTAAGTAAGAAGTAATGGTACTCATATGGACAAAAATCAGAAGTGCGGGTACTCAGCACTGGTGAGTTTTGGGCACTATCCCCCTGACTCTTCCTCTAGTGCCACCATGAGGTTGAAATTTCTAGTTCAGAGTGAAATATCTTGACAACTATTGGATGGGTTGCCATAGAATCTGCTATAAATATTCAAGGCCCCTAGGATAAATACTAATAACTTTGATCATCTTGAATGCCTCTAGCGCCAACATCAGGTGAGAATTTACACTTATTCAGTGAATCAACGTCTACTAGATTAATCGTTTCACAAACATTCATGATTCCCAGAGGATGTATTCCAATGATTTTTGTGATCCTCTTGAACTCTCGATATTTTTGTTTTTTATTGAAATATCGTAAAAACATTTGGATAGATTGCCATGAAATCTTGGTACACTCGAAGAGTCAAAATATCTTTTTGTCCAATACTTTAATTTATGACCTAATGTATGCATAAATAATGACACTCCCATCAGTCTCAGTTGTACCTTGTGTTTAGTGCAAATATTAGCATGCTAAAAAAAACTAAGACGGTGAAGATGGTAAACATCAACATGCCAACATTATTATTATTTACATGTTAGCATCCTAACATTAGCATTTGGCTCACAGCACTGCTGTGCCTATGTAGAGCCTCACAGAGCTGCTAGAATGGTGGTAGACTCTTTACTTTGTTTAACTTTAGTTTCAGTTCAATTAAAGTGTCAATATATTCCCATCTGTAAGGCAGGTCTGCAGTATTTGACTTAAAACACCCTGCTTGTATTGAATTAAAGGGGCTACTGTTGTCAGCCAATGAGAACCCAGTAATGTGGCTACTCTTTAGGGATGCACATTTCAACAACATATTATCACAATCACATTATGTCCAAGAGCAATATGCAAATTGCAGAAGCAGAAACATTTAGTGAAACACTGTAGTTCTGCAGAGATGCACTGGCTTACAAATCCTGTCCACCAGATTTTTAAAAACATGTTCAGTACAGATCCCCCAAACATTTAACATCAACATTGAATTGGTAATTCTAAGATGACCTATTATCACAATCAGTGATGAGCTGCACCTTGAATGCTTGATCACTATTATCAGTGATCAACAGACCACAATAGGAAGAAAACACCACAAATTAACATGATCTTAAGTTTTTAGTGAAAATGAAACCATGTAAACTGACATGTTGAAATTCCTGGTGCAGGTTTTTCATTATCTTTGCGCCTCAATGTCGCAATTTGCGTCAGAATTCATGCAATTTATTTTACTCATACATCGGTCAGATCTGAGCACACAGACGTGATAGACACATTTTTAGATAGACTGTTTCTTACCCTTTCCGAGGATGTCGTTTTCTCCGATCGCCATCGTGAACAAACGTCCATAAATCCACTTAGAAATCCTAGAAATCCTCGTAACGATGACTCCAGAACTTTTCTAAAAATCACCACGTTTTTAAGTTTACCTCAGTATTAAAGTAATCCAGTGATAGTTGTGTGTGCATCCATGGATGCACTGTTAACAGGAACAGCTAACAATTAATTCGGTATGCTTTTAATTTGCTAAACTGCAAAGGGGCTCAAGTTGTAGCGCACAGCTGACGCCAGGCAACATTATTTACACTTCCTATTTGCATTTCCCAGAGCATTATGGGAACGATAGTTCCTTAACTATGATTGGCCCTCAAATCTTGGGAAGACCAGGCATGATAACAGGGGGGACAAAATCCATTTTATAAATCCAAGTTTATTTTTTTCATGTTGCACTATCAGTATTTGTTTGACATTGGAGTAGGAGGAGTGTGTTGAGTGGTCTCACTTATGTCTTCAGAGGGGGGCACTGCTGTTTATAATCCAGAACTGATTTATTGCTAAAAAATTTACATTGACTGGTATCTTGAGATTGCAAGTCTGGTGAAAATGGGAGCACAGCGAACACACACACAAAATAATGAGCTATCATTCAGCCTTCTTTTGTAGTTCAAGAAATATCTAAATACAGATGTAGGACAGGTTGCACTGTGTAGTATTTAATTTTCCCTTCGCTCAAAACACAGGTAGATCTGTCAATTTGTAATGATTGGGAAGATGTTGGGATTGTATCTCTCTAACAGTAAAACTGTGTGTGTGTGTGTGTGTGCGCGCGCGCGCACGTGCACTGTTGTTGCTGTCAGCTGCTTGTCTCACTACGCCTGAGGTCTTGCCACAGGGAATACTTCCGCCTGTCATCTTCACTCAAGGTAAAAGCAAAAAACCCCTTAATGAGGTTCATTCTATCCTCCCCAAAATACATTTTCTTTTGTTTTAGCACCAGTACCATCAGACAACTTAAAAGTAAAAGGAATTTCTCTGTTATGACATGAAAACAATTGCCTAAAGCTGTTAAAAATTACTATTCATTTTACAAGCTAGAATTGTCAAATGTGTATGATTTAGGTGCTCGTTTCATGATATAGTTTCAGTTCACTCTGCTTGATGTAGTTGAATGATAGATAGATCATATAAAAAGTTGAAGATTCATAGGGATAAACTGATTGACGTCAAAATATTTTTGCCTTTTCCTCACAACCATCTTAGCTATCTCAGCAAAATTCTTTCATAATCTTTAACACTCAAAACACAAAAAAAGTTACTGTTACAGGTATGACATGAATACCGATGTGCAGAGAGAAACACAAAGACAGATGGATTTTGTCACAATCGTACTTTCACCAAACAAAACGATAGGAGACAATTCTGCAAAATACAAGATTTATTTGCATCGTATCTGAATATCAAAGTGCTGAATGAATGTTTGGTTAAACATTTCACGAGGAGTTTTTATGAAATATTCTCAATTTAATGCTGATACATAACAAGCAAGACCGTCAGTGAGAAGATTGGCTATTTCTATTTAGTTATTCTTTATGACTGCCACAGGGCCGGATTTCGTTGGATTCCCTGTAAAATCAATTAAACAAGGCGGTAACTACACAACAGCTCTTGTCCACAGTGGTCAGAATCAGTACAAAAAAATTATTTCAAAGTTCCTTGTACAGGTTTTAAGGCAACAAAAGCTACTTGAACGCTCTTTGGCATTGTTAAAAAAAAAGCCAGTATTATGTGTTAGTTTGACTGCTTTCTTAATACTTCATCTTCTTTTTGGGGTCTCAGAGAGACAAGACATGGTTAAATGCATTATATTTTTAGATGTTTTACTTCTGTGATTTGGGTTGCCAGTACTATTTATGCAGGATTAACCATAACAAAGATCTTAAATTAGTCTATTAGAATTAGGAGAGAGAGAGAGAGAAGTTGACTTCTCAAGACTTACCACAGACACAAGTAATGTCACCTTCATCAAATGTGAAAGCCATGTTTATGGCAAAGGGAAAGATTATCACTTCAGTACTTTCCTACATATTTGTCAAAAGAAAAGGAAAAAGCTAATTGATTTTGCAATTATTGTTATTATGTCTTCCACATACAGCAGTAAGCCATTCTCAACATAACACAAGGGTTAACTCTTAGGGAGCTTCAGCTTTAGTTAAGCATGCTTGAGCAGCATTGTTAATCAAAGGCACTGTACATGGATGTCACTGTCTGTTGGACGACAAGGCACGGACTCTTGCAGGAAGACGCATCATTCATGTTGCACTCTCTGAATGCTAGTATGATGGCCAAGTAAATACCAAGCCAACAGTAGAGGCTACAGACAATAGTAGCAATGAGGCAATCGGGCAGTGATTTGACACAGTCTCTGCCTGAGCTGTATTCTCACCTGAGGCAGAAACACAGCCAACTGGGATCCATGCTGTGTGCTCATTTCAAGACCATGGACTGATGAAAGTGGGCAAGCCGGTTGCAGATACACTGGGACCAGAGGGGTCCTCTGGGAAGCAGAGGAATATGGTACTACAAGATTTAGACGCTACACTGGTGGTCACAGTTTTCTAAGGAGACAACATGAAGGACAACATGAAGCTTTGCTTAGAAATCAGAAAGGACTAGGAGTCTAAAAGACTCTGGTACCTTTGCAGCTTGTCTGCACATAAATATGGTTTGACTGAAGTGATAAATTGAAATTAAATTAAACTCCACAAAGGTGTGACCAGATTTGCAAAGCGGATCCACACAGACTAAAGGCTGTAATTCCTGCCAAAGGTGCATCTTGTAAATACTCACTTGTAGGGGGTGAATATTTGTCACATATTGGAGAGCAACCTAGTACCTAGTAAGATTTCCATGTCACTTTCAAGGTTAAACATGCAGAGAGAAATGTACACCTTGTTCCCCCTTCTAAGATCACTTTAATTAATTTATTATCTAAATTATCTTCTCTTATGCACAAAGAAAATAAAATCAGTTTAATGAACTAAGAGACACTGTAAAAGAGCCCATTTTAAGTTGTAAGAGGAGAATTATCTCACAGATTTTCAGTGTTCATTCATGTGAGTGATGTGGATGAATAAATGAATATCCAGCAAAACACTTTATATACAGCACGTGTGCAAACAGGAAGTAAACGACAATAACAATTTATCACCTCGTCATTCAATGCTTCTAAATCTAAAACCGGCAGCAAAATTTGCTCTTTAATAACATTATACTGAAACTGATGTCCAAATTCAGCCGTAGATTCACTGTGAGAAGGGGAGGCAGGTGTCCCTTACTCTTAAAACGGTCATCAATGACACAATTTAAGATTCACCTGAGATGTTCTTTCTTCCTCTGCTGCCTAAAGTTGTAAGGAACAGTAACACAAAATACACCTTTATCTGAATGACAAAAAGATAGAGGAAGCAATGTTTTTGTGATTACTTCACACAACTTTGTAGTGATCTGTTTTCACTCTGACATTACAGTCTTTTTCTTTGATTCAGTGAGACATGTAAACTTCTAAGGGAGGTGAATACTTTTTTTAATAAGCACTGTATACTAATGTTTGATTAAAAATATCAACTATTTTATAGCCATTTAATTGTCTATGTTGTTGACACTGTATTTGAATATGAAAGGTTTGTCAAGTTTTATTATATCTTATTATATTTACATTTTTAAACTTTGTTTAAATAAATGATAAACATGCACAAAATAAGTGAATAAACAAAATAAAATAATACAGCAAGAAAGGATTAAATGCAGCAAACTATAAAATATATAAGATTACCCAACTTTACTGTACTGATAACAACTTCAGTATGATCAGTAACAACAAAATAATGTGCTGGAGTTCACAATATAAAATAGAGAGAAAAAGAAAGGAAAAAAAAAAAAAAGATTACATTCAAGAGTGAATATGCTAATTCTCAGGCTCTATCAGATGTTTACATTGAATTAATTAATTGGATTTCTGTAGCGATAACTCCCATGTGTTTTTACCATTAGCGTGTTTGAATTTTATTTGTGGACGGAAGATTGATATTCAAATTCAAAGTAATCAAGTGAGTGTGAACAAGTTGGGAGGGCAGACAAGCTTTCATATGCAATTCCTCTGACTCTTCATTAAATCCTGAACAATATGCTGGTCACAGAATGACAGACACCCACAAGAGTTTTTTCTGCATCTCAAGAACCTCTCATCATTCTGAGGTTGATTCACTGCTGATAACAGTTAGAGGATTTCAAGTTGACTGTGTTTCTGCGCCTAAAGCCAGAGTGAGAACATGGGATTTGGTTTGGTTTTGCTCTGGTCTGAATATGTCCATTCTTGTTACCCTTTGTTTCCTCGGATGTGTGTACCTTCCTGCTCTCCAGCCCAGTGAACAGCATAAATGATTGAAGGACCAGTGTATTTAGTTGTCAGCTGAGAAAGACATTTGGTACTGAACTTAGAGTTTCTGCATGGGTACTGACAGCATCGAGGTGCTTCCAACAGTGTTAGGGCACAAGAACAGCATGTAAGCAGAACACACAAGAAAAAAAAGGCAAAACCCCTGTCCTTATTCCGTTTGGAAATCTTGGAAAAAAGACTACCTACCTGCCTTTTATCTAAAACAGTTGTAGGGAAAACTGCACCATAAACACACCACTTTTCTACCTTAAAACATGGCAGATACCCTTGTGTTCTCAAATCTTTACATAGTTCTGGCTCTCTGCACCCTCTATATATTATTGGATTACAATATGTGCTTGACTCATGACACAACATCACAGTAAAACAATAAATCAAATGTATTTTTTTGAGGGATAATCATTGTACAGCCATGAAATGTGAAATACTGAATAGCAGCTAGGTGTATGTTAAAGTGAAATATTCTTAATTGTGACCTGATGGGTTTCAAAATGTATAATCGAATAATCCGGAAACTTATCTAAATCTTTCTGCCATTCTCATGCAAATGATACAGGTTAATATATCAGTCAAACACAAGATCTTTACAAAGTAGTTACTCCAAATGAATCACTAGCTTGAGGGGACATGGTTTTTTTTGGCTAAAATCTGAGCTAAAACCCAACCAGCAAGACTAGTTTAAAAAAAAATTAATGAATATATGAATACCCTACATGTGGACATTTACAGCTGAAACACATTGCAGAGAGTAAGTGACAGTAAGTAAGTGTTACTGACTCACCTTTTTGTTGATTGATGATGTTGGAAGGTTTGGTCTCTTTCAGGGATGAATACCTTACAGGGTCTAGGGTTTAATCTCCATTAGAAAGATTTGCACAGTTCAGCCCTTATTAAACCAAACCAATGGGGATCTGCGTCTTGAAAAAACTAATCTGGCGATAATGCATTATTGTACAGTAATTGTGTTCATGTGAAATTTTAACTTGCCATGTCCTTTATGGTTGAATAAGTTTAGAAATAAATATAACTCTAATGACAATCTGAGGATATATTTCAGGTATAGATATTTAGATAAATTTGAGGTTATTTTTTTGTCCAGGGGGATTTTAAATTGGGTGTGAACACTAATGTATGATGAGTGGCTTTTGGTTCCAACAGTCAAGACTAATGTTTTACCTGCATTGTTGATGTGAAGAGAAAGTTGTATAACAGAATACTGTGACTGAATGTGCTCGACAGCAAGATTAATGACTTTTTGCTGCTTTTATAAGACTGGATCATCATTTGGACAGATGATTATATATATATATATTTTATCTTTCATCAGCATAATTTCCCAGTCCAGGACATGGTTTCCTGAGCAGCCCTACCGCCTACACACCACAAAGGGGAAAACCAGTCAACCCTGGGCCATGACTGCTCTGCTTCCCAACGTCAGTGTTCCTGGGAGTACAGCAGTTCTGCTGCCGACTACCGACTCTTCATTTAACCTGACAGCAGCTGCTCTGGCAGGACTTGGTTCAGGCCAGTCACTGGCCCCTCTCTGCACACACTGTTGCTGTGGATTTCTCAATCGCACCTTGGCAGTGATTTTCATGGTCAGCCTGGCATTTGCCATTGTGGTTGGAAATGTTGTCACCCTTACTGTCTTTGTGCAAACGAGGCAGTCACGAACACCACAGGGATACCTGAAAGGTAAATGTTGCTCACCTTCTTATGACTAAATGCTTATTAGTCAAAGTGCCTTGTCAAATTTAAATGGTCCTTATATTGCACTGACTAGATATGATTATAATTTCATTCATCACACTTTTTTATTCCAAAACACCTAGTTTATTTAATACAATCCAAGTAAAATGTTTTTTCTCAAGTGCTTTAAAAATATTTGTAACACGAATATGTGCGTTTCCATTTTATAATACATTTTAACTAAAGTGTATTGACAAGAAAACAGTCTGGATGTGTCCCCTTAGCTCAATTTGTATTGTCTCTCTCTGACAGTCTCTCTGGCCATAGCAGACATGATGGTCGGTGTCCTTGTGGTCCCTTTCTCTGTCTACACCGAGATCTCTCTGATGGTGACCAGCACTCCTCCCATTTGGTACCAGGGTAGTTCTACTTCCCCAGCCACCTCCTCTTCTCTTGGGGGACTAGTCAGCCCTTGGCAGCCCTGCATGCTGATTGGCCCAGTGTTCGCTGGATGCACTTTTGTCTCTATCAGCACCATCTTCCTCATGACACTGGAGCGAAGTGTGGCCATCCTACGGCCACTCCACAAGGACGCCTTGGTGACCCGGAGACGAACTCTGCTCCTCATCCTGCTCTCCTGGGCCGCCAGCTTCCTGCTTGCTCTTGCGCCCCTCATCTTCAGCAGCAACTTTACTTTGGAGTACAATGAGTGCAGTCGTATGTGCAACTACACCCCACTATTGTTTGGAAGCCAGCTGCCACCTGATGCCAACATTTTGCTGTTGTTCCCAGCATTTGACTTCACATTGCTCGGTGGCACGTTAGCAGTTAACATTGTGTCTTTCACTAGCATCCGACGGTACACCCGAAAACGCAAACTGCTCTCAGAGGGGAGTCTGACTGACGGAGGGGGAGGAGGAGGAGGGGGAGGGTGCCCTCACAGGCCCTCCTTTTCAGACATCAAAGCTGCCAAGACAATTGGCATACTAACATTTGCCTTCACAGCATCCTTCACACCCATCGCAGTGTTTGTGCTCGGGAATGTGGTGGGATACACCTGGTGTAACTTTTCCTTTTTTGCCTTCTGGATTCTGACAGGAAACAGTTGCTGTAATGTAATTATCTACAGTGTCAGGGACCACCGCTTCAGGAAGGGTGTGACACTGCTTTTCCAACGAGAACAGTCCCCCCCACATGGCGAGAAGACCTGAGGGATACATGAATTCAAATGCAGCAAGCATATGTTTTGTGGATGCTTTCCGGTAAATTTGATTTTACTTTCTTACCGATACGCTAGATGCCTCTTCTGTACGGTAAATACGTAGCTGGAGCCAGACACTGGTTAGCTTACCTTAGCAGAAGACTAGAAATAGGAGGAAACAGCTTGCCTAGCCCTGGACCAAAGGTAACAAAATCCGCCAACTAGCACTTCTAAAGCTCTCTATTTAAAGAGTGTAAAACTTGGTTTTATGGGAGGTTATGTGCCAGAGTTCCATTCTTTATGTTAAGCTGTTTCCTGGCTCAAGCTTCATATTTACCGTAAATCAATGAAAGTGGTATCAATCGTCTTATACACCTTTCAGCAACAAAGAAAATAAGTGCATGTCCCAAACAATTTCTTTAATTCAAATGTAAACTACAAACATAAAAGGGTTGAACATTTTTGTTACTGAGAATTGTAAATGGAAGCCAAATTTCTGAATTTTGGCCTCCCTCCACATTTGTCTTTGGATAAAACAAACCTATATCTATGCATTGCATGCTAAAACTGTTTTCCGGACCGGACCAAACACACATACTGTAGGTTTTGAGGGAAAAGGGCCATTCGATTGCCCCACCAATCCCCATCTTCTGCTCTGGTGTCCTTGTCTCGCCTTCCTCATTGTCAAACTTCTTTCCTGAAGTTTTACATCAGGGGGCTTTTTATGAGCCTTTCAACAAATTCAGGAACCAAACCTACTGTATCTCCAGGAACTGCACTGACAACCACAATAACCACTTTTTTATATCATTAATGGGTTTATCATCTGTTGATTTTCTGTGTTCAGAAATCAAGTTTTTTGGCAAAGGGAAAAGTTCTTACCATAGATTTGATTCTGTGGCATTTGTTTTTGAGCATCTAATTTCAATCTATTGTGATTAAGTAATCTGCCTCAAGTATCATAAATGCACTTTATCAGTTACTACATGAGTAATTTGCATTGTGTCATACAATGTTAATTTGTTGTAAGTTTTATTTTTTAGTGTTTTATAATATTTGGTTATTTTTGTCTAAGCAAATGTGAATTGAAAGAATGATCTGTATATTTATTAAATCAGTATAGACTAAATGAATGGGATGCCAACCACAGAGATTTAGTATAAAAAGATTATAGCAGACCCTCATACTGTGCTGGACTATCTTTTCAGGGTATAATGTATTTGTAACATGAAATTATCTCATCTATGTGTCAGCTATAAGTCTTGTGTATTGTTTGGAATTCTGTACAATGTACAATTTGACAATGTAATAACATATAAATGAGGTAAAAGAGCATTTTACACCTTAAAACGGTTATATATCCATTCATTTTAAAATGGTTGCATTTCATAACTGACAGGCCTTTGATGTGGTAACAATTCAGGAAGAGAATCAATAAAAAAAGAGGAAACTAAACAACACAATAAACAAGGGTGTTTTTCTTGGCATTTATTGCTCTAAATTGATTCCACATTTTTTGTGACTCTACAAAAAATATTATTTTGTTCAATTGACATGTAGTTAGTAAAAAGAAAAACATTGTGTCCTGTTTACCATGAAGTGCCCATTAAAGGTCCAGTGTGTGAGATTTAGTGATCTATTTGTAGAAATATAATAGTCATAAATATGTTTTCATTAGTGTAAAATCACCTGAAATTTTTCTACACACTTGGAAGGGGAGGTTGAGTGGAGGGGTTATCATTTGGTCGCAATCTGCAACCTCACCACTACATGCCACTAAATCCTACACACTGGTCCTTTAAAGGACTAGTGCAACCTTTTGAAAAATGTGCTTATTTGTTCTCTTGCCTAGAGTTAGATGAGAAGGTCGATAACACTGGCATTTCTAGCCAAAGCTAGATGTTTGCCCCTGTTTCCTGTCTTTGTGCTAAGCTAAGCTAACCATCTCCTAATTGCAGCTTCATATTTACCATACAAACACAAAAGTGGTATCCATCTCCTCATCCAACTCTGAGCAAGAATATGAATAAGAGTATTTACCAAAATGTCAAACTATTCCTTTAAAGCCAGCTGATTGACAATCCAGTGCATGTTCATGGAAGCATTTTTTTAATATCAAGGGTGCTGTGATGTGCTACAAGTTGACCCAAAAACAAACATCAGGGAATTTAACGGTCAACAAAAAGAAATGAAATATAATATGTTAACATGTGCAAACTTCACTGAATGAATGAATATTTTACATGTACAAACTTACAGGCATTTTCTGTTTTCCAGCAAAAACTTTAACATTATTTTTCTAGTTTAAAAATTTGTCACAATCATGGAAAAGTTTGTAATCTACTGCAGCCTAATCATTGTTGGTTCAGTGTAAGAAAACAAGTGATTATTATTGTGCTGATATTGAATCACTGTACAGAGTTGTATCAGTAGTGCATAATCCATCAATGGTGATTACATCAGATTTGGTAAAAATAAATGTATTTGGGAACATTTCATTTGTGAATTTAATGGGGTTCGGTGTGACAGTAATGCACTCAGCTCACTGCTGTAATATTCACAGCCTCAGCAGTTACACAAGCTGTTAGAAAACCACATCAGCATGTCTCCATGTTCTCTGGAGTATTATTGGCTTGATCCCACGGGTACAAATTTGTCATGTTATGTAATGTGGAGAAAGAGCTACAGTAATACCGCAGGATACCTGGATACCCAGCATGAGGGAATCTTTGATAGTGTGCAGGTAAGAAAGCAGAGTGAGGTCTCACCTCTACGCTCAAATATCTAAAATAGCTCATCTTAAAAGCCTAAAGACGCAAAAGAGATCTCAACACCTAGTGACCCAAATAGTAATTTGAGCAGTGTGTGGCACAGATGAGGAAATAATTTGTATTTCATGATTTGCTCTGTTAGAGTGTGATCTTGCAATTTGAGAAGACATTAGAGAGTCACATGTGATAAAAGTGCACCCCAACGTCCAGTCCCACCATGAAATGATGATCTGACACATCAGAGCGAAAGAGCAGGGAGAGTGACAGAAACAATAAAAAATAGAGATTAAATCATAGATCCTTGTATGAATTTATATGACCAATAAGCTTATGTGTCACACACCATATTAAGAATTACTGCATATCCATCTGAACAGCCTGATTTGTATTTGCAGTACAGACTCAGTACATTCATACATACATGAATCAGAACATTAAGCCCTTACACTGAAAGTCCTATGAATCATACTCGTCCGTGGTGTTACATCTTTGGACATTACTGGCTGACAGCATTGTTCACTGTCCAAAGGCGTTATTACACAGCTACTGAGGTTTTAGAATTACTCACATAACATGGATATTTGCTGCAGGGAGGTGGCAACTTCCCAAGATATATCTTGTTGTAAACTAACCCCATGAACGTCTAAGGGTTTGTGTTGAAGAATCCAGGTCCCTTTGTAGTTATTGTTGTTGTTTTAATATATTGAATTACTGTCTAACAAACTATAAAGCAAGTCTGAAGCTGAATTAGTCTCACAAAGCCAGCCATTTAAATTACAAAGATGATAAAGCATCTTGATGTGTTTGTGAAGTTGCTTCACTTCCTTGTTAGCGCCAACATCCCATTTCTGAAAAAATCCTAAACATATCAGCATAACATCCAATGTTTGCAATGTTCTGACAATATGTTATATAAATTATATTTGTTTTACTTACAATATTCACTGTTTACATCCATGTTTGTTAGCTTTCGGTCTTCTTCTTCACTGTCTTTGTTGGCCCATTGCTACATTTGTTGGGCCATAACACCACCAAATGACAATCAGCGGAATGGCATGAAACCAATGGCAGTATGTAAATCATGCCGCCCAGGTGCTCATGCATATGTGCACTCTTGCATGATACAAGCACAATTATTTACCTGCTCGTAAAAACGTCGCTCCATAGTGCTGCTAGAGGTGAAAAACTACACAGGGTGTCTTTAACATAATCATAAGAACCCAGAGAACAGGACAGAAAACCAGACTAGAATTTAGAGATTGAGGAATTTAAAGAATCTAGAATAAAATAATTTATATTTTAAGGTAAGATATTAGGATAACTATTCCAGGGATAATACAACAATGCAATTTTGTAATTTAATGGGCAGGGCATAAAACAGGGGACTCCAAACCAGTTAGCTCTCACACAGCCACTTCAGAAGCATTAGAAAGCCACTTTCCATACTGAATGTACTGAAATGTACAAAAAAGGCTTCCGCAGCCCATTTGTGTTGCAACGACTTTGCTGTAGCGGTATGCATAATGCTGCATTGGATATAATATCATGTACAACAGCTTGTGACTGAAAACATTGCAGCAATTTAATCAAATGTATTTTCTAATGTAGGAAATATTCAACAAGGAAAATACAAATTCTATCCTTTATAAATGCCTAATTTGCAAGTAAACAAAACACAGGGATGATGGTTATTTGTTAGTCAGGATCATTTTAATATGGTCAAATTTCTTGAAGACAGCAGTTTAACGCAGAAGTGGCTGTGAATTTCAGGGCACCAAACAACTAAGTGCTGCACAAATAAATGTCCTTCTGTCGTGTGATTTTCAGGGTAACAGCAGGGCTGCCTTGTTTTCTATTTTAGACAGACTCTGTATCTCTATAGTTACACCACAACACAACCATACAGACACGCACACACAACAATGCCTCCAGCAAGAGACATTGCCGACGATAGGTCAGAGCACTTTGGTGCCTCAGCAAGGTTATGTATTGTTGTCTGTCCTATTTCTTTTTTATCCTCTCTCGTTTCATTGTCCTAATGAATTTTTAATTGTCTCTCTAAGCTCTTAAGGCAAGAGATGTGTGTCAGAACCAATAAAGCACAGAGACCACCTGTGGCTGGTGCCTGTTTTTGGCTCAACAGAGGAAAGGGCAAAGGCAGAGATGGCTGAGAGGGGTGACACGGAGGGCTGGGTTTGGGAGCGATGCTGTGTTTCCTCCACAGGGGCCACAACAAGCC